AACAACACAGCAGGTAGAACCTCTCGAGAGCCCAGCGGCAACTTTTGAATACCATTCACTGTTTCCATTGAGCAGTAAAACAGCTGCTGGCCCAGAGACAGACAGTGAACACACAGTGCAGTTTGTCTTCTCCAGGGCGAAAACAATGAGTGATCGAAGACAAACATAATAGGAGTGAATAGTCCTGTGTATCTCTGCCACAAGAGGTACCAGGGTCAATGAGATAGATATATCTATAACCCCTCATGAAACATCTGCTCTCCCAAATAACAGCGCAACCCTCCCTGCAGATAAGCTTCAATGATACTTATTTCATGGTAATCACTTTGGTCGCTCCCAGGATGAAGCCAACTTCAAGAATTCGTTATTTTTCTTCATCTGGTGGTCGATTCAAGATATGCAATGGACGGGCAACTGTGGCTCATTGAATCCGAAATGGCTCACTGTGTAAAGCGATTAGTTATTCCTGATGGGCAGTGTATCACGTGTCGTATAAAAATGACGTCCGGAGGTTGCAAACGTTGCCCTGAATGACAGTTCAGCTCAGTTGCCAGTTTATTAGATGCAAGTAGCCACATTTGATGCTGATAGAACTGTCTCGTGATATTCTGAGAGCAGGAGCAGAAATCGCCAACCACACAGTAAGGGTCATTTAAATATATATAAGAGGCATTTTCTGTGTCTGAAAAGGGAAGCTGACGCAGAACTGACCCGTTCCACGTCTTCTACATTACAGCATGATGCTCATTTTGTAAATGATGGTCAAGTTGGACTCAAATAGGCCGTAGAGAGGAGTCTGCTTTAGGGCGGGCCTACGAGTGATTGACAAATCGCTAGTGCAGCGCTGCTACCTCAACATTGCTCAGTGTTGTGTTGTACTAAAAGACACTCTAATGAATCCGCTGTTCATATTCGATATACATTGCAATTCATTGTGACATTTTTTCCTAAACCACTAGCACACCGCCGAGCCTTGAACACCAAGCTAGCAAGGTTTTTCGCTTTTTCGTTCTCATGCTTGTAGAGCTTCTATTAAAAGCTACTTGAAGATTTGTGTTCTGCGACGGCCTTAAATGTGTTCGCCGGGAAACAGTCATCAAGCGGGACTCTGAACTCAGAACACTCTGAAGTAGACGTAACATTAAACACAGAATCAAGGGCGGCGGTGGAGCGACGCAGTAGCTTCCCCTCGTCCTGCGGCGCGCGTGAACTCAGCGGCCACCCACCGCTCACCTTTGAAACGGAGAACTTGTGTATCCAACAGAGGAAACACACGAGCGTCCTCCTCTTCATGAACGTGATGTGGAAGCTACAGACCTCGAGGGTGAAGAGGGAAAGTGGTTTTAAAATGATGTCATTGAGAGGAGCGATGGTGGTGGAAGCTGCTACCCACAGCGCTTGATCACAGTGGGGTACGGCGACCACGCTGAGGAGGTGGCAGGGGGACTGGGGAGGGGGATCCATGCATGTATGGATGTTCGCCATTAATCATCGTTTGTATCTCAAAGGATACACACCTGTACTTTCTATCACGTCATCAGTGTGACATCGGGTGCGTCAACAGATGAAAACACATAAGAGGAGCACTTCTGCCGATCATACAGGAAACATGTCATGGTTTGAAAAAAAAAAAACATGAATTAAAAAAAAAGACAACTCCAGCGTAAACAACTGAGACGATCCTGCCCTCTACTGTGCAAGGGATGTAAATTTCTTTGAGACACAAAGACGTCACATATCCTACAAATTTCATTTCATTTCACCGTTTGCCTTCATTTTATTTCCCACGTGAGTGGTAAATAAGTCAACAATTGTGTCTCTTTGTTTTGACAAAATAATAAGTTAAACAATCAAACATACTTCTTTACATACTCATGCAAACTCATGCTGACTGACTCCTTCCTTCCTGTTCTCGGTGAAAGAGAAACCAAACACAAATACACTGCTGAGGACGATCTCTGTTATTTGAATGTGGTATGGAAGGTCTTTTGTTTCAGTTTCCAGCTTGCATGGTTTGAGGCGGCACATTAGCCGGGATCAGCAGATAATTAGAGACAACAATGGACTTTTCTTCATAGAGATGGCAGGTAATGTTTCCTCCTCCTTGAGACTTTTCCAAGTGCCTCTCACTGGTCATTTCCTCTGTCCCAGCGGTGCTTTAACTCCACATGAGCTGCATCTTTGAAGCTATGCATGGAATACCGTTTCAACCTGCCTAAGAAGAAAAACTAAAATGGGACCTTTGTGAAGGCTTCCTCCTGCTCAACTAGTTTTTTTTTCCACACCACATGGTAAAGAAAGTGATTTTCCTTCCTCTTTTCTTTTGAGGAGCTCCTGTGTAGAGCATCTTCTATGACCCTAAACATACTTCACCTTAAGATATTAGCATTTGGCAGTTACCTTAGTTTGACCATGGAGAGAACATCCGAAGAAATAACTATTCCAGACATATCTGTCAATGGACGTCATTTCCACTCAGGTTCACTGCCACAGAATGATTCACCGCCTGCTTCCTTTATCGCTCAGGAGGACGTTTGTCAGTGGTGCAGGGAGATCTTCAACAGATGTGTGGGAGACATTGGCAGTTCCACAGGGTTGACCAATAATATTAATAAAAAGTTGACGGTGATTTAAGTTCAAAAGGCCTTCCTCAATAAAACGTCCATTGTCTGGTCAGCAAAATGCCCGGTCGGGGACCCGGAGGCACGAGCCGCTTGTAGATGTGAAGCTGCGGGTGGAGGTTTGGTGAGTAATGACTTCCTGCGGGTAGCGGGGTGCATGTCCATTTATGCATTGATGGGTGAGTAGTAGTCGATGAGGCGGGGAGGTAGTGAGTGTAGGATGGGTGTTATGGGCTCGTACCTCTTATCAGGATCCTGGCTTTGCTGTTTTTAATGTATTGCAGTTTCTGGATGTTCTAGCCAGTGATCCCAGTAATAAAATGACAGTAGTCCAGATGAGAAGCTTGTGGAGAACCTTCTCCGCATCTTACAGGGTCAAAGTGGGGCGTAGTTTGGAGATGATAAAAGGAGGTTTTGCACAGGTATTTTATATGGCCATTATAGCTCAGGTGAGGTTAAAGTGACTGAGTAGGGGTTTGACCTGACTGTCAAAGGTGAGATGGACAATGGAGGATGACTGAACCTGGTGTGGAGAGCCAACAAGGAGGGCTTTGGAACCGTTGGAGATAGTCTTTGCTCATACATGCCTTTATCTCCACAAGGCTGGCGGCGAGACATGACATGGCTGCAGAGGGGCAGTTGTGATGTAGAACACCACGGGAGACAAGGCACAGCCTGGACTTGCATCTTCCCAGTGAGACGTATTTAGTTCTGTCAGAAAGGTAGGACAGAGAGTCCAGTGGTGGTGTGGAGGCGCTCTAGGGATATAGTGTGATCCTCTGTGTCAAATGCAGCAGTCAGGTCCAGGAGGATGAGGAATGAGGGTGATCCCCCATCGGCGTCATTCGTCACCCTAAGCCTGGGGTGTCCAAAGTCCGGCCCAGGTCACCAATCACGGCCCGCACATACTGTATTTTAATGTATTATTTATGGCCCACTAGCACTGTTAACTAAATCCTCAATAAATCACAAAACATTCAAATGCAATTCCTCCTTTAACACACAGCATTCATCTTTTAAATGATCATGGAGTAAAGATATTTATCGACTTTGTGGAAGTGTAAGGTATTCCATGTAGTTTGTTCAACAATATCTGACTCTCCAGATATGAATGAAAGGCAGAATTGTGTTTTTAGAGTTTTTCACGTCTGCTTAAGCGGCTTATATTGGGCTTCATCGCCATTTGAAAAATACAGATGACGTGACAATGGAAATTGTGTATCATTTGCATGTAGCTTTTATGGTTTAAAAGGGTCAGAAGGGACTATTGGCATCCTTTCATTATCAAATCTGGATCACCTCTGCCCTAAACAAAGCGGTTTCAGTTCTGTGGGCTGAAAATTCTGAAATAGCGACCAATGACGTAGTGAAGAGAGAGGGACTTTGATTGATTGACAACTGACGTCGTTCAATACCATCTTGGAGGAAATCTGTAGGAGCTTATGCAAATCAACTTACCATTTGGAGTAATCAAGTGATGAAATTAACTAATTACAGTGCTACATGTTTTTTGTTCCATTTGTTTAAAATAAGGAAAACTTGAGGTGACTTCATTCTTAGCGGGGGTCCTTACCAAATTAACCGTATTTTAAAATGAATTGCTCGGACTTATTTGCAGGTGATTTGATTCCCTAAAACAAACTCATCATGGTTCAAGTTTAGTTACTATGGCAACCTATCCTGGGAATCTCACCTGGTGAGGGGCAGGTACAGTTCTTCAACCACCAGAACCAACGAAAAAGCGATTTTATCACTAACTTTTCCAGAGTGACGCTATATTAGTCACGCAAAAGAAAATAAGCCCAGGATGCTTGACAAAAGTATCTTGCTACTTAAAATCAGACTGGTCTTATTGCATTAACATGAATGACCTTTGTGGAAGTTTATTTTAATTTTAGTATCTTAAGTGTTACAAATCCTATCTGAAGATAATTCTTTCAAAAAATCCAAGACATGGCCATCGATTTAAGAAAGAATTAACACACAGTACTACAAATACAGCTACCACAATAACTACAGTGAGATTGTTCTAGAGTATAAATACTTATTCTCGCAGTATATAGAGTACAGTATAAGTGAAATAAGGGTATGGCCTGTGAAGAGGCGCTGCAGTTTTTGAATTATTTTAAGGTGTGCAAAGCTCTTCAAATGGTGGTAAATGAGTTTGAGGCTGCGCTTTTCCCACTGTGAGATGTGAGAAGGTTTTCTGGAATGACAAACACTGTCTGCTTTGTGCGCATGCATTTGCACTTAGCGCCCCCATGTGGTAAAACGCTGCTAATCAAAGCCCTGATGTGCTGTAGTTTTCATCATGCAGCAAATGTGGAAATATTCTAAATGTTTCTTCTTTTTTTTTTTTAAACAGTGCACTTCTTTGCATTCAGGGCATCGTAAAACCTTTAATAAAACAAAACTAAATACAAATATGGAACAAAACTTCCCGGTAGTACAAAGAGTTCACAAACACACAAGTCACTATCGACAGAGAACAACAAGCGGGTTTGCAGTTTGATGTCGTTGCTACTGATGAAAAGCTCCTCATCTTAATCTCAACACGGGCTTTAGAGAGAAACCGATATGTAAATAAATCAAACCCTTCCAGTTTGACTGCTCCGGAGAGTTCTTTGAAATGCACACGAAACATTGACCCATTGTTTTTGTGAGGCAGTGTGGCATCTGTATGCTGACACAGCATGGCGTCTGCCGGGCTCCAGATGCCTTCTGCCTCCCCGCAGCAGCGGTGTGTCCAAGGAGGTCCTGTCGGATCCGTTTGACGCACCCAGCTAAGGGAACATCTGTGTGTCTCTGCCTTTGAGGGACATTGCAGCAGATGGGGGGGGGGATGTGAAGCCCTTTGGTTGTTGTGTTCACCAGCTATGAATAACAGATGAGTACCGGCCCACATCAGGATCAGCGAAGCATTTTTTTTTTTAATCCACAAAGAGCAAAGGAAACATCCACTTAGCAGAAGATTGGTTGGGGGCCACAGTCGCATGTGCAAGAATGTCCCCTGCAAAAACTCCACCATGTACGCTGAAGAGGAAAGAACGGGGGACACGTTTCCGTGACGCCAGCAGAGCAAAAGGAACGACGGACCCGCGGAGGTCAGACTGCAGACACATGAGTTTTGCGTTATAGTTAAATGCACTTTTTCCTTCAATGAAACAACAAAGTGCACAAAGAGCTTTCGGTATTTGTTGAGAGGTTTAAAAACATGCCGGATGGGTTTGGATGAAGATGCCAAATGCTGATCTTTGATGATATTCTGACCTCATTGAATCTATTATGACATTAAGTTCAATTGTAACATTCAATAGTTCTGTGTATGCAGAGGGAAACATTCTTATGACAACAATAACATTTTGGTAGGTTTAAACTCACAGGAAAGCACATCCATAGCAAAGTGGGATCATGGAAGATTACAAAAAAAAATAAAGGTACAGGCACTTCTTTATCTGTAAAAAGTAAGTCAGTTCAAAGCTGTGAGGAAAGCCAAAAATAGGAAAGAAAGAAAATATTACGATAAGATCAACCATTTGCTCTTTTAATACCTTCTGTCTCTACACCCATATGGAAATATGACTGTGTTCACCGAAGGATCCTCCCTTCCTGCTTCTAGTAATCTCTCCACCTCAATACCCACATGCTGCTGAGGAATTACAGACATGCGCTTATAAACAAATGTAAAAGAGGAAATGCAGGATGGTGATTAATGTCGGGGTAAGAAAATATCGATCCATTGAGACAACAACACTATGGATTGTTAGACTGATTCAGATCCTTCTGTTCGGACTGCATACAAATGTATATGTATATCCTTATATGTTCTTTATACCGCGACAGTTTCCCTAAATTTAGATTTGACAAAATCTCAACGAGTCGTCTGGCCCACAGTGAGATTGCACATACGGCATTTGTAGCCCTTGAAGCATCTCACAGCTCAAGCAGCAAAGTAACTTTGTAGGTTGTGATTGTAGGGCCCCTTTGCGGCTCGACGATCATTACAAGTATGTTTGGAAAACATTTCGGGAAGGAAAAGGGAAAATATGGAAATGGATCCTTTTGTGAAGACAAAGCAGTGGACATATTTCTGATCCACCAATGTTCAATGTTCTATTTTGGCCATTTCAGTATTTGTACGTCTGAATGGCATCATTATAAATTGCTACAATGATATTGGTCAATATGCACACGGCATTTATTGAAAGGTATTTATTAGATCTATGGACCATGTATGCAAATATAGATAAAAAAAAAGAAAAAAGAATTAAGTCATATTTCCATTTGGGGAAACATCAGCTTGACTTCCATCAGTGTCTCGGACCAACGACCAAAAAGCTGCTGCATGCTACGGAGCCAACGCGCACACCAACAGCAAATAAATGGACAAACACACGGAAGTACTGCACTCGAAATTCATGGAATTCAAGCAATGTCCACCACCACGAATGATCACCACTGAAGTCTCGAGAGCCGGAGGCCCAGATGCTGAAGGAACAGCACGAATCCAGCTGCATCGCTCACGGCCCTGAAGGCTACATGGCCGCATCCCACTGTCATCGAAACTCTGCATCGCAAAAGCAAGTCACAACCCCCCCCACCCCCCAAAAGAGGACTGAACCGAATGTCAAGCGTTCAAGCTGTAGGCGTGATGCACCGCTGGGTTTGTAGGGCGCTTAAGCTACATGGCGGCGGCGCTGCTCGGAAAGCGCCTCATTTTTCAATTATAAACAAAATCTGGAAATACAAAAACTACTGTACAAAACACCCAGGTGAAAAGCGGACAAAGATACTGCTAAAGTCACCAGCACTTGGTAGTTTAACAGCTGCTCCATCTGACAGGTGTGTGCAGTCACAGCGACATACCTTGAGTGAATTAGAACCCAATTCTGCAGCTCCCAAGATCCAGAGCCAGATGTTTCAGAAGTGGGTGGAGACCAAAACGGAAGTAAAAGGAGAAGCGACTCCCAATGAACGCTAATGTCCCTCCGTGTCTGCTGGATATGTAATAATGGTTTGTTAGCTAAATTAACTTCTTGAGGGAAAAATATATTGAAGTTTAACTCAAGTTATGGAAGTTATACAAGCTACTAGTTAAGGCCTGATTATTTTGAAACAGCTAGCAGCAACAACACAGACTTATTAACTTGCAGGAAGAAAACAACCACAGCCGTCCTCTCCATTCACATATTTTAATGTGCATGTAATCTGTAAGGGAACGGCAAAATTCTCTCAATAGAGCCAAAACATAGTTGATGGGTTACAACTACACACTCGGCCTTCAACTCTCATGACCGATCAGCTGTTTTCTTCTCGAATATTCCCACGATGTGGAATCCCTGTTTTCGTCTCCAGACAGCTTGAAACACGGCCGATAGCGGCTGACATGAAAGCGCCTTTAAAACGGACTCTCGATCTTTCATCGGTTTGATGGCCAAAGCCACTGGTCTTGTCTCCAGTTTGCCCATTTATTGGCTGATTGCAGCCATGGGTACCCGATATACACCGACGCCTGATGAGGCTGCGCCGTAGCCCAGTTTAGAAGGTAGCAACGAGATTGCTTCGAATTCGCTCGACAACTGCACGTCAATGGAGACGATATCCACTTCGCTGGATGATGAAAGACGCCACAGGACGATGATTGGAGATTCGAGACTACGTATTCTTAGTCGTGTACGTTTACAGGCATAATATTCCACGCCAGTCTGCCCCTGTAAGTTCAAATACATCGAGAGGGTCTTCTGTTAATACAGAAATACTGGCAAAATGAAATTGTATCAACTCCGCCAGTGACTTCGGTAGGAGATCTATGCTTTCGTCGAGTTTAAAGGTAAACTAGATACAGTCGCTTAAAGATTTGGAAACCAACAGCTACTGGCCAAAGACAAAAAGCTTGTGTACCACTGCCAACAATCGGTCATCTCAGAACTGGAGACGTTAGAGAACCTAGTGATGCAAAACCCCGTTGACTCGAACAGCAACAAAAAGGCAAGAGTTGGATTTGTTCCCTTCGTCCTTTTACCTAGAGCCCAGTGAGGTCTACGATGGCCTTGATGAAGATGGTGTCGTCGCGTATGTAGGAGTTCTTGGAGTCCAGCTTGGGGAGCGGACAGAAAAGCGGGCAGCCGCTGGCGATGTTCATGTCGCTGACTGGCCTCTGGAAGGACGAGGAGGAGACGTCGGGCCGGAAGGCGTCGATGATGTGCTCCCTGCTGTTCTGGTCCAGCAGCATCAGGGTGACCTGGGTACAGCAGCGCGGGGCTTTGAGGTGCTGGTTGCAATGTGAGTAACAGCTCATTTCAATCGGATTATGGATTGTAGAAAGTGCCTCTTCAATAATAATCTTCCTGCAATAATGTATATTTTGGAAAGCCAAGCCGTTTTAATACAGGTTTCCACTCTGTCTATAGAGTGACACACATGCACTAACATGCACCTCTTCACTATATCTTTACATTACAAACAGTTGTTTGATGCTATATTATCGTCCATTAAGAACTACCACAATTTCTACTGAAGCCACATTTGTTTGTGTAATGAGTCCTTCTATTTACTGCTGCTTAGCTCGCTAACTACCCACTAAAGATGAATAAAGTCTATGATCTATGAACACACGGTATTTGTCAGTCCTCATTGAAGTGTATTAGAAGTAGAAAGCATAATGAAAAGTACCTGGAAACTGTATTTAAGGGCAGTTCTCCAAGTATATGTATATGATTTAGGATTATTTGTGTCCACTGAGTGAAAGGTGTTACCTTCTGATTGAAAGGCCACTTGAGGAGTGCGTCGCTGTGTCCTCTCATCACCACGAAAAACAAAGACAGGTGTGTGCCGCGGCCCGTCCCGTCTCCGTTCAGGTAGATCCGCAGGCACATCTTGTAGCCGTATTTACTGGTGTAAAAGGCTGGAAAACACAAAGCGGCGACAAAGGGAAACAGTGTCTTTGAATCACTGGAAATCAGACACACAATCAGACCGGATGAGACACGTCGTTGTCAGGCAATCGCACGGAGCGCTGACCGGGGGAGAACATGGCGGGGGCGCGGCCCGCCACGGCGTCCTGCCTCTTCTTGGTGAAATCCGAGATTTTCCAGACGAAGATGCCGTCGTATGTGGCCGCGGACATGTCCCTCATCTTCCCCTCCATCTCCACGATGGACAGGTCCCTCAGGCTCACCGTCCTCTCCAGCTGGCGGACCTGCAGGAACACACCGAGGACAACAATTCAGCAACGTCTCTATGATGATATGAGATACTACGTGTGTGATGTATGTGTGAGACAACTACATGCATGATGTATGTGTGAGACAACTACATGCATGATGTATGTGTGAGACAACTACATGCATGATATATGTGTGAGACAACTACATGCATGATGTATGTGTGAGACAACTATGTGTGATGTGCTGTATATCATATCGCAGCTTGACTGCATGCGTCGTTCCTTGTTACCTTGTTGTTGAGGATCTCGATCTTGTCCTGGTCCAGGCGGTGCTGGCGGTTGTAGGCCTCCATGGTGGAGCAGGAGCGCTCCATCTCCCGGTTGAGGACGCACGCAATGTTCTCGAACGTGCCCACCTTGAGCTCCAGCTCCTGGCAGCGGCGGCTCAGCTCGGCCACCTTGGCCTTTTCGCTCTGGAGCTGGAGCTCCAGGGCGGCGCCCGCGGCGCTGGGCAGCCGCGTGAAGGGGGTGGCCAGGGACGGGCCGCAGGCGCCCTGCGAGGGAGCGCCGCCGCCTCCGCCCATCTGGCTCATCTTAAGCTCCAGGTCCCTGAGGGACTGGTGGAGCTCACGCAACTTGTGGCTGGCCACCTCCAGGCTCTGGGGCTGCAGGCTCTCCAGGCTCACCTTGATGCCCATGATGAAGTGCAGGAGCAGGTTGAGGTGTTCGTACGAACACTGCCGCTCGTGGTCATGAAGCTTCTCGTTCTCCACCTCCACTCGAAGAAAGATACGAGCAGAAGCGCATTGAGAAAACAAACTGCGGTCCTCAGCCATTACACGAGAACACACTGGGGAATTTAGCATGACATGTGAGGTTGTTCCACAGAAAAAAGAGAAAGCAAACAGCAGTGAAATGAGGGAACTAATGAAGGAAATACACGCCGTACAAAGTATTCACCCCGCAAGTGATCATGCTTTACCGGTTATCCACATTGACACTGAACAGCAGAAAAGGACGTCCCAAACCAATCCAGAAATAATGATGATGAAACGCAGAGTTCTTTCGGAGTACAGGAAGCCAAATCCTACCACAGCCGTAAACCTTCCGACTGAAGGAATCGGCCACAGTCCACACAGGAGCACTTTGCTAGAAAGCAGTTTTCTACCAAACCAACCAGCTCTTCTGGTACGTCGGTACCGGCCTGTGGACCTGAAGCGGCTCGGCCCGCGTACGTCTACCTGAATCGCGTCGCTCGTCTGAGACACACACAGAAACATGAAGCGCAAGGTCGCGTAACACTGTCACACAATTCCCGTTACCTCCGTTACAGTAAACACACCTTTTCGCTAACAACAAGTTGAGCAGCACACTCGGCCTGGCTTTGTGTTTTCCACACTCTACCGTTCTCACGTTTTGTGACCACTAAACTGCAAGAGACGAAAGGAAATATAACTGGTTTTACAAAACATATCAAAACAATAGAGGTATGGATATCAAGTGTGTAGAACTGTAACACTGATCTAAGTGCAAAATAGTGTGGCCTGGGGAGGAGTAGCTGCTAACTCTGTGGCAGCTAACAGTAATAAAAATAAAGAATCTCTGTGTTTCATATTGGCAGAAAACTCCTCGTACACAGATCTGAATAATGGTTTCACCTTTTCTGCTGATCGGAGTCAAAAAGTTGTTAGAAATCAGTAAACTTGTAAGGACAGAAGCCGGAGTTTAGTGAATACTTCATGAAGGCGTCATGCAAACACACACAGCTCAGGATGCAGTCACGGGCATGCAGCAACTAATTATGCATCACCTGCTCAATTTTAGCTTTTAAATCTATTCAATATAGTTTTACACACGTATTTATTACCTCATATTAGTTCATGTTTAGTGAAAAGTCATGTAGTTAAATCATTGGTCTGAAAATTGACTTTTTGTAGACTCTTGCCAGGTTATTGCATAATCCCGTTGTTTTTACATGCCACTGTGACACACACATTACTGTGACACACACATTATGACAAAAATGTCTACTTACAGACGCATCGCAGCCAACAACATGAAATCTGCATGGTGCTTTACATTTACTGCAGAACTTAATATGGTCCACATACTGCAAAACAAAACAAAAAATGAGAGGAGCTAATGATTCGTAGAACATGTCGTGAATTGGATCCCCAGCGACGCGGCTAATGAGATCAATCCAACGGAATCATGGGAAATAACTGAGAAGTCATAGGTGGGATACCTTTTCTCTGGGGATCTTTTTCTTCGCACAACCTTCACAAATCATCGGGTACTTTGGACAGATTTCATCATGAGCCTAAACAGGTGAAGCAGAACGTAGAGTTAGTTCACTGGGAAACAAGGACTTCATCCTGGTGTGGTCGGCAACAACGTTACGAACTACTTCAAAGCAGCGGTCCTCAAACCTGAAACGTCCACTCCGTCTATTCAGTCATGATTTCACTGCATCACATGGCGTCCCTAGATGGATCTCACACACGGGGAGAGCCTGACCTTGATGTTCTTTAACAGGAAGGGTTCCTTGCAGTATCTGCAGTTGAGCGTCCTCTCCGGACATTCTCGCTCGTTGTGGCGCTCCTGTTCGTTCGCCCGCATCAGCTCCTTGCAGGAGGGACACATGATGATCATGAAGTCACAGTTGTCCTCGTGGCTGGCCTGCAGGGGACCGACAAAAGACCTTTTTAGAATTCTCACTTATTATCTGATGAACTTGGGTGGGCCTTAATGATGTCACCCATTGCTTTTTATTGATTTTACTGACACCAGAGTGTGTTGGAACCGTCATGCGTACATAAGTCGTGCTGGTGCTTTTAAATAAGGGTAAGTTCCATACAGCCCCGTCTCCAAATACTTTTAATCTTAATACTTAATATCAAACATGCAGATAAATATGTTAGGGTCACTATAGTGACAAGTGTAAGGAGTCGGTGTAATGCGGTGAAGTCCTGTCCCTTCTGTTGGTAAAGCCTATTGTTTTTCATTTTTATTAAGCATGATATCTGTTTTGTGAGTTGAACGACATTTGCACCTCAAACTCTTTGATGGTCCCCGTCCACGTGCATTCTTCGTTGGGACAGACGGCCGCCAAGGCCTCCACTTCTCTCCGAGCCGCGTTGTCGGGGAAAGCCTGCGCAGAGAAGCAGCGGTTGTTGGGAGTCACAAATGCTCGGCATCAAGTTTGCAAGTACCTGGCTGTAATTTTCCCCGGCACATGTTGGTGATTCTAAGGACCATCTCTGGCGTCCTCCATTTTCCTACGATTTGCCAAGCCCGATAAGAGTAAAAGCAAACTTTCCAGGACTCCATGACGTTTTTAACAGGTCAGGGAATAGTGGTTAGGATTACTCTAACTAACCCCAACTCGAATCCTCACACTCACAGGGGAAAACACACCAGGGCAGGAAGTAAAGTTAACCCAGGAACACAAGAGGCAGGAAACTAGAAAATAAAACAGGAAACAAACCCACGCATCAACACCGCCACGCAAAGATACCAAGCCAAACTCTACTCCTACTGAACGACCGGTGACCACGTCTACAGACTAGAGAACATGTGCTGCAGTCACGTGGAATCGGGTAGCGGTCCAAGAAATAGCCAATCTTCTCGATGGGGTACTTGTTGGCTGATGTAGATCAGATAGAGGCATCATAATGAAAGTTCCCCGTGGTAACTTTAAATCACAGCAATATTTAATGTAAACATTGAGAGATGCAATTTGAGGTTAAAAAAAAAAGAAAGACATACACCGCCTTGCTTGAGAATGGAGGTGGGGTCCTCAAACAAGTCTTCTTTGATGCAAGCACTGCACTTCTGTGGTCCAGAACTTGAAGGGAGGGAAGACAAATGGGACATTAGTAAAGATACTGTGCCATAAATAAACTAGCATGTGTAGGACTGTCTAGTCATACATTTGCTTGATGTTATGGGGCAGGGGCATTCAACGTAAATGTGAAGAGGTCCAGTTAGAGAACATTTCTAGAAGCAAAGGTCCAGACAATCATAATGTGACTACTAAGTCTGATTAAATAGAGGAATAGAGTTGTATCAATATTTGCATTTTTTAAAGCCTTAACCGCCCCACCGCCCCCAAACCTGAGACCTTTCAGTCACTCAAGCATGATGTTTCTGACAAAGAATCATAACAAATCGCAGGATTATTTATATTAACAAAAATTAAACTGTTCATGGATTTCACTTCACGTTAAAAACAGACCACCTCCAGGCTTCACTCAAAAAACTAAACCCTTTCAACCTTTTCAAAATCCCTTTTCATCATTAATTGTTCTAATTCTTGCGGGCCTTCTGACCCTTTTAACACAGGGTTTTTTTTATCCAATGATACCAATGTGTTCCTTTCTGACACATTTGGCTGTGTGACAGAGAAAGCACAATATGAATAACAATTTAACCATAACCGATTGGGGGTTCACGATTGATACGCTTCACTTGCAGCCAGATCATTTCACTCCCTGTGTCCTATTGATTTCACTTTATTGGCAGTGGCATCTTAAATATTCATTATTATCATCATCATAAAATACTTTGAAAGCGTATAATACCTTTGACTTAACTCTTAAACATTTGTAAAATGTTAAAAGTTACAAATAACTATTCATATAATAAAATAAAAATATCAGGTGGCGCAACTACAAGTTAACTAGTTTCAGATTAAACAGGCATAGGATACAAGCATTAGCTTTGGATCTGGTTAGTAACTTCATAAATATTGAAAAAAAGAGTTGTTTTTTTTCAAATTATATTTGTATTCAAAATGTATTAAAACTGGATTGGTTTCATAAAATTAAATATATATGACATGAATTGATGCAATTATTTTAAAAGGAAAGAAATGGACTCATGGACAAAAAAATATGCATGACATGACTCATATATAAACACCTATACAACTGTGTATATGTAGATATAACTGTGTATAGTGTATATGTAGATTATATATATATATATATATATATATAAACAGTTGTATGTGCAGTACCAGTCTCTAGCAGGGTTCTCAAAATAAAAGGGGCTTCAGAGAGGCCGACGTGATAATCTAATGACTGCTAAGAAAAATGACTGAAAACACAAATTATATCTAAAAAGGGGGAAAGGCGCACACATGCGCACTGCGAGAATGAAAAATGTGTGTTTTCACAACCAAACTTGACTTCTCACTGCGCCGTTATTTCAAATACGAAACATTATAATAAACAGACATTTTTCAGGCCTATTCCTGTGTCTGTTCCATAACAATAGAAAACGAAACAAAGTCAGTGGTACTTTCATCCCTACTGCTGTTATTCTAATATAGAAAAGCAAGAGAAGAGTACACGTAGTAGATGAATTGGATGGACCCTTGTCAGGTCACCTCGTCTACCGTGTGGCTAAAGGTCATCACTCCGATTGGAAAAGGCCGAGTTTAAGGTTTGCCCGCGTATCGACAAAATACTGACTAAGTGGAATACAGTTTTATTATTTTAAAAGGAGACGGACCTTCTCGTAAATTCGGCGTACATGTCAACCTGAATTTACGTAAGTACAAAACACTGTCAAGTGCAACTCTTCAACATCTTCGCTGCTCGTTCGGGGCAGACACATCGGAGGACAGCGGGACTAGTTACACTACGAGGAATCGGCCCAACCACTCGCACAAATTCAGATTTTATCGGGAAAGGGGGATGATTTGGGAATTACAGCACGCCGAATATTTGAATGGGTCTTAAAAATATTGTGTCGTACGTGTGCGTGTGGTTGCACTTACGGATACCAGCGACAATAAGCAGGCAGCACTCAATTGAAAGCTTTTTAAAAGGAGGGCTGGTGACGAGCTTGGGTCGCTCGCACGGCTAACCACCCAAGCTAGCTCCCTGTCAACGACACTACTCACCTCACAATTTTGTTGAAACAGAACGAACAAAAGCGGTGACCGCATTGGGCTTGCAAGGGCCTTCTCAACACTTTCTGGCACGAGTTGCACAAATGCTTGTCCTCGAGGCTGTTGGCCAAAATTTTCTTTGGGAAGCCAGGTTTGTTGCCTTCCAGGGAAGATGGTGGAGACTGCTCCTGTGCAGCCATTATTCCCGTTGAACAATATCGAGGCGGTCAGTGGGCTGCGTTCAAGACAGCGCGGACTGTAGTTTTAGGAACAACCGCCGGCAGCGACCCATTGCTCTCTGACAGTTTATTAAAACATGCATCCCTGCTTATGACAACAACGCATGTTTCACCTTGTGTAACCCTGTGCTCTGAACAAACAGCACCCGGGCGTTTTCACGTGATAGATGAGCCAGCTGAGGATGCTCCGCTTAGCCGCGAGTTCCCGCGTCTGCCGCTAGGCGCCGCGGACCCGTGAGAGGAGGCGAAGCACCGCCAGGAAGCGGGCTGCTGCTGCGAGCCGGATTGGACCGCCGCAGCTGCGGCAAAGCGGCTCCGTTTAACGCGGCGTGGTCCCGGAAGTGTTGTCATCGCGTCTTCAAAGTAAAAGCAAGGTATTTCTAGTCATGTGCAAACACGTCTTTGAAGAGAGTGGGTTTTGCTTGAATTGCGGCGTTTCCACGGAAATTATTTGGAAAATGTAGGGAAGTTCAGTTAGTCCAAATCGCATAAAATACATATGTACATTACGGCCATGGTATGCGTTACTGTAGATAGTTTTGCAACTGAAATATTATTTCTGGATTATCCGAATAAGCATCTTTAGTTTTTGTTGTTGACAGATGATCCCGTTATGGAATTATATATGCTGCCATTTCCGTTTCCCCGTTACTGTTTGCATTTCTACTGGTAACTAATCCGTACTACCACCAACAACGGCAGAACATTTACCGAACTGGTCTTCCGTTGCTTCTGCGACCTGTGTTTTTTATTTTGAAAGCTAAAACGGAAGGTGCGCGTTCGTGCTTCGCGCTTGACCCGTGTGTATGTGGCTGCTCTCGTTTGCGAAGGAATGTCGCTGCTGCTACATCTCTGCTGGGATGGAGGACTGACAGATGTTTCGAGAAAAAGATGCGGGGACTGCGATATCTTACATTATTAAATAGCCGTGAGTATTTGTAGCTCATACCACACGAGAGAGAAAACCCCGCCGTTCTCGCAGTGGTTTGATGCCAATGAGCGAACGGGAAGCTAAGCTAGCTAATATCGTCTGGAGAGCTACAGCTAGCACCGAGCCGAGGCTTCACGTCCCCTCTCAGCCGGCGCAGGGTACGCACCTGTCCGCCTCACCACTGTTTGACCATTCACATCCCTTTACAGTATTTGGCTTTAATCTTTTTTCGGCATAATTGCATCAAAACTTCGATAAATAACCCTGTCAGGAGCGCTAAACTGCCTGGACTGCTAATGCTAACGTAGGGTGGATAACGTTAAAAGAAAAAAAAATCAAGGGAAAAGGAAAAATAATTGAGTGTGTGCGTGTGCGTGTGTGTGTGTGTGTGTGTGTGTGTGTGTGTGTGTGTGCGTGTGTGCGCGCACACTGCTCGACTTAAAAAGCTGTTCTGTGTCATTTCACTGAACACTGCAGCGAGGTCACAGATCCGCCGGTCAGATGGTGAATAATGTAACGTAAGAGCTCTTGTGACAGCTCGCGCCCATCAGGCTTTAATGAGGACACGAAGCAGCTACGAGGACTTGTTTACCACCAGTTCTCATAATCGATTCAGTGTTAATCGTGTTGATTCTAATGAAACATCCAGGTAGATGAGTCTTACTTGTTTTATTAATAAAAACAAATAAATGACCAAGGACGTGTATTTTTAGCCAGGCACTTTTTTGTAGATTATGAAGCAATGACTTTTACATTTTTGTAATATTCCATAACACATTTTTGCCATGGGGGACAATTTAATGGGTAAATAAAACACACATGAAACAAGATTAGAAGAAAATTATTTATTAAGCAGCGAGTGAAATGGAAATATAAGTCACTAGAACGAAGAGTACATTGAGTATCAATAATGAAACTGTGTAAAGTAACATAGCGTTAAACGCTCCAGGAGCAAAACAGCATTCAGATTCCGTGCTGTTTTAGGTGAGAATAAAGATGTATTTCTGGTTCTTGACCAGCACTTTGGAGATGTATTCTAACGGAAGCCGGCCGTAAAGATGTCGTAGCTGAGTGGTAATGGAGACTAGTGGAGACGGACTTTAATTTCATCCAGATGGTTTGAAGAGTGTTTGAAGTTTTCTGGAAATACCTTCAGAATAGACAGGACAAACAACCCTTCTGGGTTTTCCAGCAATCACAGCGGCATTATTGACTAAGAATAATTGTGTGTTCTCAAACCATGAGAGGCACGAGCTGGTGAAACGTCACATCGGCAGCTAATGGTTCCATCTCTGTCACATTTCCATGACGTACATTTTGCATTGTGTCTTTGTTCCTCAAAATTTAAGCTGACTAAAAATATCTTGCTGGGCCTCCCAACCACTTTGAGGAAAAAAAAAAAAAAAGTCAAACTGTTGATGTCCATGTTTCTTGGTATCGACGGCAATTACCAGAACCTCATCTTTAGGGATGGATCTGTTTAACTTTTGTTTTTTACACATTGTATAATTTTTTTTGTCATGCCCAAATGTAACGGTTTTTTTTGCTGTTTTTGTTTTTTCCACAGATGATGCTCCAAAAAAACTAGTCATTACCTCCACCTCTGCCCGGTGCCCGGGAGCATCCAGCCATATCTAAGAGAACCGCCGCACAATTCAGGGACGCCGTTGAGTCGCTTTGGCTTCGTGCGTGCTTCGGGGCATGGACCCTTAACCTCCTCGTCCGCCACGACACGCTGCTGCACCACCGCTCTCCGCTCGTTGTGTGACGACACCGTCAGGTGAAGGCGCTGCCGCACAAACCCCTGCGACACGCGAGCCCCCAACGCACCGGCAACGATGTTCTCGGCGCTCAAGAAGCTGGTGGGGTCGGAGCCGGGGCAGCTCAGGGACAAGAACATTCCGGCTGGCCTGCAGTCCATGAACCAAAGTTTGCAGAGACGCTTCGCCAAAGGAGTCCAGTATAACAGTAAGTGATGCAGGCAGTCAGGCCAACGGGCCGGTCGCCTTCAAGCGATTAAAGTGATTAACCTTTTCCTGAACTACTGTTTCTCCGTGTCAAGTGAAAATAGTCATCCGGGGGGACAGAAACACCGGCAAAAGTACTTTATGGCATCGACTGCAGGGCAAGAAGTTCGTGGAGGAGTACCTGCCCACTCAGGAGATCCAGGCCACGAGTATCCACTGGAATTACAAAAGTAAGTCGCCGCATCTCACGCCAGCTCTGAACCGCATTTCATCGCCGCTGTTTCTGCCTCGGTGAATATTTGACATCTGCTGTTCTGTTTCAGTGGCGCCATATCAAGGTAAAATGTCGTCTTGGCCTCAGCTCACCCAGCGTAGAGTAGCTATCCTGTATTTGTGTTCGTCCCTCCGTACCGAGCAAACCTTTTCCCCACTTCTGCTAGCGTTTGCAGCCGTTGGCTCTGTGTTAGAGTCGCTTAGGGTCCTGCATGTTGGGAATATCCCCATCTGTGGCCCGGGAGCGTGAATAATGCAAACTGTCCTTCTGTCTCCCCTTCAGCTACCGATGATGTGGTCAAGGTAGAGGTGTGGGACGTGGTGGACAAAGGTGAGTGTTGACACATGCGCCCGTTTAAAGAACCAGACTTTCCACAGAGGTTCACCTCGTCCTAAGAGGCCCTGTCCCTTCTGTTCTCTCCACTGCCGCAGTATTTCATGACTCCAAAAGGACGCTTCACTTTTTCCTTTGTGTGTGTTTTTTCCTCAGTGTTGATGATGTTTGTTTTTTTTCTTCTCCTTTTTTGTTTTGCACCTCTCTCTCTCGCACTCATCTCAGGCCAAAAATATCCTCTTCCAGAAGGTGTAGGTGAGCGGCAATGTAGTGTGTAGAGCTTGAACTGGCTTGTGTGTTCTGGGTCTCTCTCCGCCTCTTCACACTCTTATCTGAATGTCAATATTCCCACGGTTTGCTGCGAGGCTTCTTCTGAGTTTGGCTGACTTGTTCCTTTGCTGTGTGCATCTTTGAGCTGTGGCGCGTTCCCCTTTCACACCGAGGGCTCCACCAGGGTTGAGAGTTGGGTCGGATCGGGGTTGACTTTATTGTGAACTGCACACCATCAGTGTCGCTGACGCCTGTGGGCGGGACTAACGGGGTCACTGGCTGGAAATGGGAGGGCGCACCGTAGGTGCTGTTGTTGCTGTTACTATGCAACCAAAACCCGCATACTTAGATGACAATGAGGTTTAGGTCATTATGTAGAAAGCCTCGATGACTAAACTAAACGCCATTAAAACCAAAATGAATGGATTTCCGTCACGGCGAATCCCTCACGATAGCGCTTGCTCTCTTCAAGAGAAATAGCCCGTTGAACCCGGAACAGCTCGTAAACGCCTGAGTGGTCTAAACTCATCACAGGTATTCCAACTTCGAACACACTCCTCTCGCCAACGCGGTACAGCCAGCTGCAAGCGCATCCGTTTTTTAAAGCATGTTTGCACAATCTTTCTATTTCCCAGCATGCGAGGGTTCTGACCCGGGTCCCATCTAAAATGTCAACACTGGGAATTAACTGGCGGTGACTCGCTTGGTTTGAATTGACAAACGAGGGTTTGAACACAGGTCAGATGACCTCGGTCCTAACCTGCTCGTGGGTGTGAAAGACGTACTAATACCAGGAATGTGTGTGTTTAAGAGGACGCTGCGCGTTATTGCCCGGCTGCGAGATGCTTGCCCGTGAGAAAAGCGGCTGTGCTGCTTTTGCTTCTGTACCTCGCCGTGATCTAACACGAGCAACGAGCTGAGCTCTACATTCCGTTTCTTTTTTCCGCTTGTGACCTTTTTTTTTCTTTTTCAGGCAAAGGCAAAAGGCGCGGAGAGAATTTGAAACTGGAGAATGAGCCTCAAGAGGTGATTATCACGTGGCCGTCATGTGTGTGTGGAAAGAGGCTCCTTTGTAGGAGTGAAAGAGCAAGTGGATCATAAGAAGCGTCACATTTCCTCCCCGTATCATGTGATTCATGCATCAGTGTGATGGCTGTGTTGTAGTCGGACGAGGTGGCCCTGGATGCAGAGTTCTTGGATGTGTACAAGAACTGTAATGGAATCATCATGATGTTCGACATCACCAAGCAGTGGTAAGTGGCTCCGTCCCAACAAAGAATTATCACTACATCTGTGACAGAATTTGGTCTTAAAAGGACTTATTGCAATTGTCTCTGGGACACTATATTGTCCAAGTGAGGCGAGGTAAGGCCTTGTGATGTGAGTTGTCTGAGTCGGTGTCCCTGCTCCGTCTCGTCAGTGAGCTCTGATGCTACAATATGCATGGACAGATTGGGTTTCCGCTGCTTCCACGAGCAGATCATGTTCAGCTTCAGAGGCAAAAACCTTCAAAGACATTTCCAAACAGCTATTTTAGGCATTACATCTGAGGGAATAAATGGAGATATTTGTTTTTTCAGATACTATCATGTCCAGCCATGAGGGACATGATGCACCAGGGGGGGGTTGAACGTTCGGTGTATTGTTGCCATGATGCACTGACTTGTGCCCTTCATTGTAATAACTGCAGTAACACAAAAACACCAAAACGGAGACGCATTGTGTGTACTATATATATATATATATATATATATATATAATCCTTTGTCACCCCATAAAGACAAAGTGGAAAATAACTAAACGTTTTCACATTTATTTTAAAAAAAAAAGAACAAAAACAAACAGTTTTACAGCCTTTGCTCAATACTTTGTTGAAGCACATTTGGCAGCAATCACAGCCTCAAGCCTTCTTGAGCATGATGCTACAAGCTCGGCACACCCGTTTCTGGGAAGGTTCTCTCATTCTTCTCCGTCAGGTTGGATGAGGAGCAGCGGTGCACAGACATTTTCAGATCTCTCCAGATGTTCAGTCACCACTCAAGGACATTTCCATAGTTTTCCCAGAGGCGCTCCTTCCTTGTCTTGGCTGTGTGCTTCGGGTTTTTGTCCTGTTGAAAAACAGCGGGAGGAACTGGGAGATGAAATTGTCACAGCGATATTGATATTGAGTTATTGGCTCAAAAATATGGTGACATTTTATTTATTCTATATCGCCCAAACCGCACTCATATTTGTTCCTATCATTTATTCATTTCTACCTCTTGCGTTTCTTTACCCACCAACGGGCGGATGCATCTGTGTCTTTTCAATCGCAGGACTTTTAACTACATCCTGAGGGAGCTGCCCAAAGTGCCCACCCACGTGCCCGTGTGCGTGCTGGGCAACCACCGGGACATGGGCGAGCACCGCGTCATCCTCCCCGACGACATCAGGGACCTGATCGCAGGACTGAACAGGTCAGAGGTCAGCGGCGGGCTAAAGGAAGCCTGCTGGACGCTTTGATGCTATCCGTCTAAAAAAGGATGACGCTTCAGAACACTGACATCTGCTGGTTTGTGAGACGTGTAGCCGCACCTCTCTGATTGGAACAGCCCTGTGTGCAAAGGAGCGTTAAACAAGCCAGCATGTTAGTGTTTAACACGTAATACTCAAATGTGGATATATTTGTTCAGTATGTTCTTTATTCAGTAACTAATGTATTTGACCAAAATATTTATGTGCTTTATTGTTGTAGTTGAGGTGTCTCCTGTGGAATATTCAGTTTGTTGTAATAATGATAAAATCCCTTTTATTACATTATTGCTTAATGTCAAGTGGAAATGTCCTCAAACGAGTATTTCTCATTTGACACGGAGTATTAAAACAGTGACAATCTAAAACTCTCCATGAAACGCTTTGGTGTTCAGAATGGAAACATTTTTTGTAGTAAAAGATTTAATTTGTGTGTGACGGTTCTCACGGTGACGAAGCTCACGCAGAATTCTCACCAGATACAAACGTAACTCCTAATGAGTGTGTTTGAAGAGAGGCGCTTACTAACTCACTGCCTTCCCCATCGTAACAAAGGGATAAGCTGTATCATGGGGTTTGTTAGTTCTGCTGCCCGCTAGTGGCCTGAAAGTCAGCGTGTTTCCCTGATTCGATGATGCGGATTGTGTTGACCGATGTTGCACATGTGCAGGGAATGATCGCTAAAGTAATTCTTGTGTTTTACAGACCGATGGGAGCGTCTTACATCCACTACGCCGAGTCCTCAATGAAGAACGGCTTCGGTCTAAAATATCTGCACAGGTTTTTTAACATCCCCTTCCTGCAGCTACAGGTACATTTCTTTTCACAACTCATTACTATCATAATTATTACATTTTTATTAATTACTCATTGTTACATTCATTGTGTGTGTGTGTGTGTGTGTGTGTGTGTGTGTGCGCGCAGAGAGAGACCCTTCTGAGGCAGCTGGAGACAAATCAGCTGGACATGGACGCCACCCTGGAGGAGCTGTGTGTCCAGCAGGAGACTGAAGATCAGAACTATGAGATGTACTTACGGCTTTGTGTCTCCCTCAATCTTCTTTGTGATGTTTCACTCTATTTGTATAACACCAGCAGGAACGTGTATACGTATCTTTCAGGACCTTCGGAGTCCATTCGTACCATAATAACACTACTGTGCTCACTCACAATCCCCCACCTCAGATTCTCTCATTTACATTTTTGTTTCCTGCCTTAGATTTCTGAAGTTGTGTGTGTATCCAAGTTTAGAACAACACACATTTTCTGAAGTGATTTAAAAAGTTTAACGAACATTGCAGATGACATTTCAACAGCAGCATTTACTCTCTGCAGCCTCTGATGTTGTTGCCGTTTATTAATGCGTGAGTGATGATTCCTGCAGTTTCCTGGAGAACCTGGAGTCTCGCAGTAAGGGCTTCGGCTCTCCCGGTCCGGCTAACGGTCAGAGTCCTGACTCGGGCTCCCAGTCGCCCATCGTCCCCCCCAGCGGGGCCTCCACGGGCAGCTCCAGCCCCGGCACCCCTCAGCCGCCGGCCCCCTCCCAGGCGCTCCCGCAGTCGCCCACCGTGTCCGCCCCCGCCTTCTCCCCTCCGCCTCCGCCCCCGGGGACGACCGTCAGCGCGGCGAGCTCCCCCGCCGTCGAGTCGAAGCCGCCGGCCCAGTCGCCCGAACACCTTCAGGCCTCGGGGGGGTCTGCCCCCCAGAAACGGGGCTTCATGTCCCGCTGGTTTGGTGCACCTCCTGCTGCTGAGGCTCCTGCTTCTGCGTCAGGTGGGTCTTCTCAGAGATAGACGCACACACACACACACACACACACACACACACACACACACACACTGTCTCCTCTGTAGCTACGTGCACACTTTGCTGATGCCCTCAGCTTCAAGTCTGAGTTTCCAGATGTCACGAGCCTGGCCGCTGATGGAACGTGAAAATGTTACCGGTTTGACGGTTATCGGGCTGCTTGTTTTCCTTCAGACGAGCCGCCGGCTCCGATGGGTCCCGCTAAGGTTCACAGTGTGGACGACTTTGTGCCGGATGAGAGGCTGGACAGGAGCTTCCTGGAGGACAGCCTGCCCTCCAGGACCAAGGCGGCTCAGCCGGCAGCGGCTGTGGACAGCGACAGGTGAGACGTCCAAGGCTTCAGGGTCATTTCAAGTCGGCTTCTTCATTCCTTCTTTTTTTTTTTTTTTTCTTTAATCATTTTTTTAATTCGCCTCAACATGGGTTTTTATTTTTGACATGAAGAGATTTCTAAAACATACAACATTACATGGTATTCATAACAATATGAAATCAAATTCTGCTAGAATATATTCAGTGTCACAAAACACATTTTCACCTGAATATTTGCTCCTTCATGTTGCTCATACACTTAAGGATTCCCTACACACACACACAGACTTGAGAAGAATAGACGCTCCTCTTACTTCAATGGTTGCACGGCGGTTGTCTTGTAATCAGAGTCTTTAGTCAGTGATGTTTTTCATCTCCACCGGGCAACTGTGTTTTTCTGTCCCAGTGACGGCGAGGACAGAGGAAACCCCATGGTGTCCGGTTTCCAGGACGAGCTGGATATCGACGACACGGAGCCCTGCCTCCCCCGGCCGAAGACCCTGCCCCCCAGCAAAGACATCACTCTGACCAGTGACGAGGACGAGGGGGTCCCGACGGCCCCCGCCGTCCCCAAGAGCCAAGAGCTGGACAGCGACTCTGAGCTGAAACCGTGAGTCCTCACAGTGACATGGCTGTTATTGATTTGAGGTTATTGAGAGAGGTGTGTGTGTGTGTGTGTGTGTGTGTGTGTGTGTGTGTGTGTGTGTGTGTGTGTGTGTGTGTGTGTGTGTGTGTGTGTGTGTGTGTGTGTGTTGAATCTGTGGTGCACTGCCACAAATTAGTGTATGTGTGGGAAACACTGAGCATAAAGTCTGAAGTTGTTCTCCAATTGATGAGCTGAGGTCAGTTATGGCATCAACTACATTCACACGGTTGCATTTCCGAGCACAACTCGACTGGGCCGGCTAACTTTCTCACCCCTGAAAAAAAAGATCAGAAACCACTCCGCAGCAGTCAGACGGCTCTCGTTTGCTCTTCGCACACATGAGCCGTGTCACATGGGCTCGTGTTTGAGTGTCTTGTTGACATTAAAAATAGGTAGTGTCAATATCGTAGAGCTACATCTAATATTTCCCCCCTTTTTGACATTAAATATCTTTTATTCCATCACAAGCCATCTGTACACCCTTTTTGTGCCATTGTCGTGGTTCCGTCACGGCCGTTGGCTGTAAGCAAAAAGGATTTTGCAGGCAAACACCAGACACCCGGCTGCTGTTGATACGATACCAGATGCCTCCTGTCACCGATCCCGCTATTTGAGAGTCGGGCCTGTACGCCGTACTGGCGATTCTCAAGTTTCCAATGCCGATGAACAGCTCGTTCTTTCTGCAAGAAACATTTCTGCTCCTCCAGTTTATCTTCATTGCGCATGTTTTAATCTCCAGTCGTAGGGCCGGCGAATATATTCTGCTGCCTGCCGAAGAGCGACCGCAGTGGTTACGGCTGTGCACCGGTATGACGGGTACACCAGCGAGTCCTACCCACTGCGCTTGTGTAGTGTTCATTTTTCCACAAAAAGCTCTCGCCCCCAAAGAGTGAGTGGCTGCACGCATTTGGAGAAACTCCAGCCTTTGTTAAAAAAAGCACTAACACCAACAAACGCAGCCAGCGGAACCCGCTCGCCAGCCTTCACTGATGTGTTGAGAGGGTTATTTTGCCCACACAAACACATCATCATGGTGTCTGTGACTGGATGTTCTTTGAGCCTTGATATAGTTAAAATAGAAGATACACAGCCTGAGTCGTGAATCACTCTGCTGACAGCAGAAAGTCTGTCCTCCTTCTGCGGCAAACTAAAAACACACCTCAGTGTTTCATTTCTAATCTGCAAAACTTTGGAGAGGAGAACAACAGGAGAGGACAAGAGGGGATGGAAAGCTCTGGAGCTGCTTCTTCCCTTTGCCTTACATATTTACACCACTGTTCCTTCTGTGATTAAAAAAAAAAGAAAAGTTTAAATATACTTAAATATAAACGTAAAAGCCCCTTTCAACATTGTTGTTAAATCAGACACTGATGGCACAGCGATGTGCATCAGCCCTTTTTCCCAACCAAAAACGCCTTACTTCTGTTATGATCTGGCCTATACAGAAAATAAAATGAAACAAAATGTGTGGGGGGGGACGGATACACCAGCCCCCACCCTAATATAATGGTAGGGGAAACACCGTCCTCCTCCGACTATACCTTCAACACGTAGCGCTTCAAATGGCACTGCAGCGAAAGATCCCAGAGGCTTATTGAATGAAATGCAAATGTCGTTTTGTTTTCAGGCCCATGATCCTCAGCAAGAAACCGAAGGTGGCGTCCAAAGCTCCGGAGGTCCGAGGCCAAAGCGCCGCCCTCGTCACCCTCACTCTGACTCCGACGGCGGAGCAGCCGCCCCGAGGTCAGGGCAAGAAGAAGGGAAGCCCACAGAGGGCCGAGGACTCGGATACAGACCCCGAGGCCCCGGTGGCCCAGCAGGTCCTCTCGTACGTCATGGACGACCCCGACTTTGAGTCCGAGGCGTCGGACACGCCGAAGGTCGTGAAGGTAGAGGAGGGGAGGTCGAGGCTCATTAGTGACGGGCTGGAAGTCCAGTCGGGTCACTCATTAAATTACAGTTCTGTCAAATCAGAATGAATTCTCCCTCCGGTCCCTTTTTGGACGAATTGCAACATCTCCTCACGTTATTTTTTTCCCCCTCCTCTGACCGTTTCTCTCCAGGACATATTTCCAGTCAGAGACGAGCTCCTGTCCGACATCTCTGACGACGACACGCAGTTGGCCGCGGCGCCGGAGCCCCTGAAGCCCACAGTGATCTCCTTCAAACACAAGGACGACGCCGACCTGTTCGGCCTCGGCCTCCGGGACCAGGCGCCCGCCGCCAAGGACAGCAGCGAGGAGCAGGAAGGCAAGTCCACGCTGAGCCTTCTTTCAAGAGGATCTTTAGAAAACTCACTGCTCGTCTTCATTCCATCAACATAATGTTACAGATAACAAACTACAAACTACGAATGTATTAGAAACTATATGTTACGACAAAGTTAGTTACAATATGTGAAGATCACTCAGTCACTCATAGCGCATCGTGTGCTCTGCTCCATGGACGCTCACTGTATTGTTTCAGTTGTTCAGGCACTTCTGTCTGCTTCTCTCGAATATTAATTATTAATTAATTAATTAATTAAAAATATTTTTTTCCCAAATGGTTGCATGTCTTCTTTAATACAGGAAGAGGTTCATTCTGTAAATGATGGTCCCGTTGCCAGGTTGCTACCACGGCTTTGGCTGGTCTTGATAGTTTAAAGTTCCGGTTGCCTTGTTGTCTCATTCAGCGTCCGGTTTTACTTGCCGGACAATATGGCAAAAGCTTAAATGAAAGAAGTGTCCGTCCACAAACTAACTGGTGTTTCTGTTCCGCATTCAGACAAGGAAAGCAAACCCTCCTCCAAAGACAAGAAGAAAAAGAAGAAGAAACCCAAAGAGGTAAAGTTCTTGTTGTTACATTGCACACGGGCAGCGATGTCACACAATAACTCGTCCGTCCGTCCGTCCGTTTTCAGGAAGACGAAAAGAACAAGAAGAAACACAAACACAAAAAAAAGGAAAAAGACGAAGCGGCAGCGGGAGACGAGAAAAAGAAGAAGAAGTCCCGCACCAAGAAGACGGAGGTGGACGAGCTGGAGGACTTTCTGGGCGGAGGAGCCGCGACCGTCAAGAGGGATGACGGGGATTATGAAGAACTTTAAAAAGACGAGAAAACACTCCTTGACTTGTCAGAGCATCAAGCATCTCCAAGCCGCACGCAAAGGCCACCGACCGCACGCAGGTAAAATCAGCAAGGACTCTGGTACCTGGACGTTCCTTCTAAATGACCCCGCATCTGCACTACCGCGCCCACTTCCATCCCAGCCGACAGGAAACGGCGAGGAGACCCACTCGTAGACAAGTTCAACATTTCCCGCGACTGCCGTGGCCACAGATTGGCCGACCGGTCTGAGCTGCTCCTGTAAATAGAGTCCCCGTCTGGTTCTGAGTGGCTTTGTTTGGTGTTCTGAGCGCATGCTTAAAGTGACTTCAGAGACTCTCATCGTGTTCACGCTTCTCGCTTCCCTGCGTCTCCCAACGCAGGTTAAAAATACTGATTCGGTGGCTTTGACCAACACGTTTACTCTGAGCTGGGTTCATTTGAGAACAATGATTAGACCACAGAAAACTGCTAGATAATCGCATGCGAATATTTGGTGCCCTTTTTTCATTCGTAGTAGCAAAGCCAAACAACCAGAATACTACAAACCCAGAGCCCAGTCTGTCTGAGGACAAACCTCAGAGTAAAGTCATTTACTGTAAGATATTTATATTGTGTTTCTTTTGACTGAAATTAACAGGAATTTGTATATTTTTTATTGTGACGGTTCCGTCTGTCCCGGCAGATGTAAACCGTGCGGCACAGATTTATTGAGAGAGGGCGAGTCATCGGGAGCCAGATGTTGGAGTGTTTTAAAGTGGAATTTGCCTCGTCTGAAAACTCCTCAGTGGGGATCAACGATGAGTCGGAGACAACGTGTGATGCAACGGAAACAAATACTGTGTCATCTGATCCCAGAAGGACCAGTTTCCACAAAACCGTTTGTGAGCCGGCTTTGTGTGCGTGTGTGTGTGCGTGTGTGTGCGTGTGTGTGCGTGTGTGTGTGTGTGTGTGTGTGTGTGTGTGTGTGCGCGCGCGCAACCCGTCACAAGGCATTAACCCCCCCTCCCCCCACAGTGGCAATATCGAGGTCGCGTCCATGGGTCGTACGATAAGCGGATCACATGATCATCGTGACCTCGTCTGAATTCATCCGCTGGTTAATGCACAGCCGCTACTCGCTATACGTCAACAAACAAAACTTCCAGCCCCCCCCCACACACACACACACACATTGTCATCATGTTTCCTGCATCTGCCTTAACGGAGGTTCTGCTCCGAGGGAAAGAACCATTGTCTAAGTGTTCTTACTGTAAAGTGTCCGCTGGCCTTCTCCGCGTCTCAGAAGCCCCATTAGCAGATTGCAGTGAATCATCAGTTAACCGTTTGTCTTTTTTGTTTTGTTTCCTTTTCCCCTTTTTGATTCTGGTCAGACCTCAGAAACTCTGTCCCGCTGAGGCGGATCGCTGCGAGTATTTCCCTGCGAGTCGTCCCCGTCGTTGTATCCTTGTCTTCATTTATTGCGTCTGTTTTTTGAGTTTGGGGAATTATTTAGCGTGAGTTTCTGCCGAAAACACTGGCAGCTTCTCGCGGATCACAGCGGTTCAAGTCTTCCACAGACGGCCTGCTGGTTCGCTTCCAGGCGCAGTGTGGTACAGACCGTTAGCAGCCTCCTTAAGCCACCACTTTTCTGTTTTTGTTTTTCAAAACCACTGAAGCATTGTTGCACCCAAGGGAAAAATAACTGTATTTTTAGACATTTCATATGGTCTCCATCCCCCATTCATAAGTGGTTTACAGAGATATTGTGTTTGATATTCAAAGATGAAACTATGCAGCATTGATCCTGAATACTGTGTGCGCTTTCTTTCTTTTGTCTTGTGATTGAGGATAAATGCTGAGAGCGCAGTTTCAAGCAAGCATGAGACTTAAATGTACTGCAAGAAAAGAATGTGTATATATAAGTATGTATAGATACTGTTCATATATCTGAAGAGCTTTGTTCCAAACGATGTCCCTGAAATGCTACAAGAGGGTCCAGCGGGGTAGTGAGACCTTCTCCTCACCAATACTAACGATGGAGATGTTTCTACAGGGATCTTGTTTTTCTAAATGGATGAAGGGCATTGTGGAATAAAACCCTTCATTTTCTTTTCACTCCATGACATGTTCCATCTTTACACTGTGTTTGGTTTGTCCAATAAACGCAAACGTATTTCTTCACCAGGATCATTTCTTGTCTTATAAAAAAATATATATAAAAAAGGTTCACAGTGACTTCATAATGAGCAGCGATGTCTCTTCAACAGATTCCTTCACGTTGATCCAAATAAATCTTCCAGTTCATCTCATGTGTCATTACATGCAGTACTCAACAAGACACGTTCTGAATAACAGCGATTGGAGAGGGAAATATAATGACTGTACTAAATCAAATACCATGTTGGCACGCTCTGTTTTGTTGTCAGAGGAGTGAAGGTGGACTTCACAGTAGTGGGCGGCGGTAGTGAGCCCGCAAGTCCACGAGGAGGAAATAAGAGAAGAAGAAGTCAGTATCGCGCGATCTCATTGGCTCCTCTAGTGGGCCAATGAACGAGGCTCTTGTACCCACGTGCTCATGCCTCCATGTGAGTAGTTGTCGCCTGCTAGCAAGCTGCCGTCCACAGTAACATCATGGTGAGTTTAAACTTATTGGTGTGCTGATGAAATGTTACAGGTAATCGATGTGCGCGTGACGTCGCCATTCAATGAAAACATCCCGCTTGGGTTCCACACAGAACCGCGTTTAAAAACCTGGTTTATTTACATGAGCTATTTGTTAGCAGCATAGTTCATAAAAGACGATCGATAAAGTGTTCCTTGGTTATGCAGTGCTTCACTTTCATGTGTCATTTAAGTCCAATTCACCAAGAAGCACAAAATAAACGTCAGCCTGAGAAGTGCTCGCTTATCATTCAGGAATCGGTGTCGTTGAGCATCTTTTAAAACTGTTTTCTCTGCGGTGTTTATAACATTTAACATGGTGACGCGGGTGTCGGATGGGTTCCACCTCTCACCGGGTAATATCATTTATTAAAATATCAAGATATGTGATAGTCCATTTCCCTCGGATAACATCGGCGTGTTAGGAGAACTTTGCCCGGTCCCCGTGACCCCTGAACTCTGACCCCTGCACCCTCAGCGATTCAACTGACGTCACCTGGTAAGTGGTTAAGTGGGAGAGTCTGTGAGGGCTTTAAATTGAGTAAATATGGCTGGGACAGCACTGCTGCACGTGTCACGTCACCATGACAAAAAATATATTTATCACTCTTTGAATTTGCTTCAATGACACAATTGAATATATTTGATGAAAAATGAATAAATATTGTCTTGATCTTTTTATCGTCAAAGTTGTAAATGTATGCATTTTAACATGGCCGGTTGATCACACATGTGCCGCACTGTTTGTTTACCTTTTTTTTTTTTTTACATCTCCGTGCTTGTTATCCTCGTGTTTGACTTGTGGGCACAGTCAGCATCTTCTGCTGAAATGGGCTCAGATTGGGTGCCGGATCATTTGACAACGGCACAGAACCGATCGGGCCTGCGTCTCCCGGCTTGAGTTGACGTGGTTTGATGTTGCAGCTTCGTCGGGAGGCGAGACTGAGACGAGAGTACCTGTACCGGAAGGCCCAGGAAGACCGGCTGCGGACCATCGAGGACAAGAAACAGAAGCTGAAGGGCGCCCTTGAAGGTGGGACGGCGCGCTGCTGCGGTTTTGCCATCGCCGGTTGGTCGCCAGCGTAAAGTGACCCCGGGTTTAACGCAAACCGTTTCTGCTTTTTCGCCGCCGTCTGCAGAAAATCGTCTCCTTCCAAGCGAGGTTCGCAAAGATGCTCTGGAGCTGCAGAAGCTGCTGGAGTTCGACGATGAGGGGGCCGAAGGTCGGTGGTGTTATTACTTATTGGGAACGGCGTCCTCTCTGCTCGCCCTGTTTGCATCCTGTGGATTTGTCGGCTCTTGTCTGCGCAGGTGTCAGCTCCCACATGGACGATGAGTACAAGTGGGCGGGAGTCGAAGACCCTAAAGTCATGGTCACCACATCCAGAGACCCCAGCTCCAGACTCCGAATGTTCTCCAAGGTCAGACCAGCATCTCTGCGACTCACTTAGGTTCAATGGCTCTGTGCGTTTTTAGAATAGTGTTTATGTTTTAAACCAAAAGGAGTTAAACGGTACCAGTTGGTTGCTGGCATGTCTGTAACCGGCCATCTGAACATCCACCCAAGGCAATGGAGGATTAAGTGTTTAATATTAAGATATTGCTTATTGTGGTTCAACTTCTTTTCTTAAAGAAGTTGAACAACTTAAGTAATTTTATCATTTGTAAATGACAGACCTCTAGAATAAAGCGTTCCTCCATTCACTTCACATTTGTTTAATTTTATTTATTTATAGTTTGTTGAACATGTTGCATAATTATCTAGTCGATAAAATCATTTCAAACCAAGTGATGGACTAAACCCCAGCATGCAAAATGACCATTTGTAAATCACTCCCTCACCTCTCGACCTGATTTTTTCTCTCCTCCCCGGAGCAAAGAGGAATAAAACAAACACAATCTTGATGAATTTAGCAACGTAAAACTAAAATGTACTCGACCCGGCGAGTTCCTGCTGCTCATGAGCGGCTGCTGTGGGTCACAGGAGCTGAAGCTGATGTTCCCCGGAGCGCAGCGCATGAACAGAGGGAACCACGAGATCAACGGGCTGGTGAGGGCGTGCAAAGCCAACAACGTGACAGACCTCGTCATCGTGCACGAAACCCGAGGACGGCCAGGTACGCCTCGCTCTACCGCTCCTTTCTTGGGGGGGTTTATTGTCTCGTATTTCCACCTGGCTCTGAGCTCCGGTCGTATAGCGGTGATCACGCGTCCTAATAACAAGCCGTGTTCTTTATTGTAGTCCCAACTGATTATTCACATTAGAGAAAATCCATTTACCTTTCTTCTTTTTTTTCAATCATTCATTTGAGTTCCCGTTTTGCGTGCATGTCTTCAGATGGCCTGGTGGTGTGCCACTTGCCTTTTGGGCCCACGGCCTATTTCACGCTGTACAACGTGGTGATGAGGCACGACGTGCCCGACATCGGCACCATGTCGGAGGCCTTCCCCCACCTCATCTTCCACAACTTCTCCTCGCGCCTCGGCACCAGGGTGGGTGAACAACGGACGGCGCTTCGCGCACGTGTCGTTGATATTCTGCGTCGCCTTTTAAAAAAAACTATTTTTAGGTTTGGGGTGCAACTTATTGGTCTCTGTGCGCATGCAGGTTTCCAATATACTCAAGTACCTTTTCCCGGTGCCGAAGGAGGACAGCAGGCGCGTGATCACATTCGCCAACCAGGAGGACTTCATCTCGTTCAGGTCGGTGTGACAAGACGTCCTCGGTGCAAATGTCATCAACATGTTGGCGTCTTTGAGCTGAACCGTAATGAGAGTAATGAATTGGGTTTTCTTTTTTCATTCACAGGCATCACACCTACAAGAAAACCGACCACAAGAACATCGAGATGACCGAAGTGGGACCCAGGTTTGAGATGAAACGTGAGTCAAGTAGGAAAAAGATGGGTGTGTTTGGGGGGGGGGGGGTCTTACAATGTCCCTTTATCCTCAAAGGGGGCCTGACAGAAAAGGTTTGGGACCCTCTGGCCCATCGCAGCTCTGCTTCAGATACGTTTATGTATTCTAAATAACGGGTGCAAACTAGATGAGCCGGATAACCAGAGTACACGCTGGCTTTGCTCGGTGGTACGCGGGCCGCTGTTGGAAGGAAATGGTCATTTCAGGGCTTTTTATTGTCAGATTTCTCGTTTTTCTGCACACTTTTTCTTGGGCCGTGTGTATAATATTAACTGGTGTGTTTCTGCTCAGTGTACATGATCAAGCTGGGCACCCTGGACAATGAGCGCACTGCGGACGTGGAGTGGCGGCACCACGCGTTCACACACACGGCCAAGAAGAGGAGGTTCCTCAGTGTGCAGTAGGCGCTGATGGAGACGAGAAGACGCTTTTTGGTGTGATGTGGAGTTTATGTCCTGATGATGTCCTGGGTTTTTGTCATTTGCCAACCAAATATAATAGAACTATAATTTGTTTTGTTTTTAAACTGCTTTAAATCCTTCATGAATGAAGTCTCTGGCTTTTTTTTTTTTTTCATAAACTCATTGATCTAAGCACACTTTTGAGTGTAATAGAACCTGTATTTGAATAAAATGTGCGTATTGGTCTATGTTGACTGTCTCCCAGTCTTCATATTTATCCAAATCTGCACATATTTACTGTAAATTACGTCACGTTATGTTTTTGTTCGCTCCTGTGCTGCAAAAAAGTTTATATAAAAATGATCAACGAATCATGGAGCATGATCTTATAACAATTCACACGCAAATATTATGGAACTCTTCAAACAAAGCACAATTAAAGTTCTCTGTAACTCTGTCTTGTGAAACATGAAGCACAAATACATGGAGAGTAATTTTGTAACTGAAAGAACCATAAAGTGCCTCTAATTCCTCCTCATTTCTTTTAAAACAAACCTGTTGCAAAACGCTAAATTGATAATTGTGAATGTCCTGAATCCATGCAAAGGGGGGCATTTAAAAAGAATACACACTTCACAATTGTCAGCTCTTTATTTAACCCAGATAATTTCACCAGACAGCAGTGGGTTCTTAGTGAACTCTGGAGACTGCAACGTACTGTAACACCTCACAGTGCACCTTCTCTAATCATTTAAAATGTGTCAGTTTTGGACTCCTTTCTGTAATTGAAGCCGTTCTTAGAATAAGCAAGAGAGGGCGGTAAAACATGTTAACTTCACTCCTCACTGGCGATACCCACATTTGTGCTCTCGAACGCCCCCTCACATAACTGGTGGGCGGGGCCACACACGTTCACTTCCTGGCCTCATTTGTTGCGGAAGTGAACGTGTGTGGCCCCGCCCACCAGGTAAATTAAAACAGGATGTATCACTCTGCCTCATTTTACGTGCAGTTAATCCTATTCGAGTCCGTCGGTTCATTTATGGGAGTTGTGAGAACCCAACACAGGCTACACGTGAGGGTAAGCGCACCTGTGTCCGTTTGTGTCATTGAACTCTCTGTAAATTTAGTGTTTACATCTCAAACGGATGCACCTTTCTGTTATTTATACGCTTTCTCTGCCCGGTGGGACGTGACTGCCGGGCCCGTTTTAGCCGCCCGGTTTGACTCCTTCGCGGCAGAGACGATCTTCGGTGCCGGCATCCACAGCTCCTCCCGCGTCGCGTCGCTTGCTCGAACCAGACTTGACGCAGTTTTAAACGTGGATGACGTCTCTTAACGAAATAACCCGTTTGCGTCGCTGGGTATAGTCCAGTGCACAGAGGGGTTCTGTGCTGAAGGATTGTAAGGGATTTAAGAACATGGGCGTGTTCGTAAGCCGGCGGAACACAACTCCCCGTTTGCCAGTGACGAACTTTGCTCACGCTGCTCGGCGGTTATAAACATTTAGTTGATCTGATGTCGCAACCTTACGGGACAATCATTGACAGCGTAGTGGCACCTTACGTATAACTCCTTACATTAGGAGTTCCTCCTGTTAACGAGCCAGAGAAGACCGCAGGTGCACCCTTCAAAATAAAAGTAAGTTTAAATTAACAATCCAAGCGTTACTATTTGGTTGAGTCATTTCATCTTATTTCACGTGTTTTTCACACGATGATCCCATGTGATCGTTGCAATATTTATCAGTGAGAGTCTTACCTGTTCTTACCTTTGTGTGTCTGTCCTGATCATCAGCATGGACGTCAGAGTCTCTGTGAGCTGCGTCGTGTCCTACTGCCTGCTGGACGTGATGGTCACCACCGCCCTGTACGCCCACGGGTCACACCTGGGCGTATTCAAGCAGGACGCCCTGTCCTTCAACATCCTCCGGTCGGCGCTGGACCTCTGGGGGGCCGTGCTGGTCAGAGCCTCCCTCCTGCTGGGGGCCTCCGTGGGGGTCTCCTGCAACTGCCGGGACGGCCCGCGGAGGGTCACCAAGCTCTCCGCCCTCGTGGTCTTCATCTCCCTGCTCTTCATCACCTACGCCCTGGCCAAGCTGCTGATGCTGACGGAGCTGGGGCCTCTGACCCGCCGGCCCTGGACCCTGAGTCTGGCATGCTGGACTTGCGCCTCCTCCCTGGCTGTGGTGCTGCTCTGGAGACTCCTGGGGAAGGAGCCCAACACGAGTCCCGACCCAAGCAGCATCAGCAGGGGAGGAGACGAGAGCTGGAAGGACACTGAGCGGCTGTTGGGGGCAGCTGGTGAGGAGGAGCAGGAGGTGCGCTGTGAGAGGAGGAAGGAGGAGGAGGAGGAGGAGGGGAAGGAGGAGAGGAAGAAGGAGGGGACGAGCCAGGAGAAGTCGGGCTCTGGGGCGACACTGGGACGCCTGCTGACCTACTGCAGGAAGGACGGTGGACTGCTGTCCGTAGCCGTCCTCTTCCTCCTCATCTCGGCCGTCTGTGAGTGTCCTTGACGTAATACGGTGAACGCGTCCGATCAAAGGGGTTTCCCCGTCCGTTACTCAGGGTTGCAGCAGCCTCATGTGCCACAGCCCAGGTAATTACTGTGTAAGTCAGTGCCGGTTACACAACACTCAGCGCCTCGCTGGCTGGACGTCATGTCAAAGGACAAGCCGCGTTCCATGTCCCTTCGCCCTCGACGCGAATCCCTACAAGAGCACGTTGTGGTTCTTTTAACTTTTTATTATTATCTCTAGTCCGTCGTGTTGTTTTCATTGATGAATCAGTTGGTCATTGAAATATCGTGAAATAGAACAAAATGTGAAGGTAAGTGAGGCGACTTTTTTCCTCTTTAGAGGATTTGTTCTTCGTCACATGAAAACATAAAAAATTGAGCATCGGATTAATTGTTAATCAAAACATTTCACACATTTTGTTTTGTCAATCGACGAATAGATTAAGTGACTTCTTGTTACAGCCTACAGCTCTTTGATTAAACATCCGAGGTCATGATGGTTCCAGTTGTCAAGAAGCATCTCGACTATTGATGACCCCTGTGTGTGTGTGTGTTTGTGCGGCCCCTCTTAACCTGCAGGCGAGGCCTTCATACCGTACTACTACGGCGCGGCAATAGACGGCATCGTGGTTCACAAGAGCATGGAGTACTTCGCTAAACCTGTGATCCTGCTCTCGGTGCTGGCCTTGGCCAGGTGAGTATCCAAAGACCGTTCCAGAAAATACTTCAACACTAAGTTTAATAGTGATATCGACATGGTTGTGGGCGACTGTGGGGGAGCACGGTCGTCCTCATCAATCAGAGGGCTGGCGGTCCGATCCCAGGCCCCTCCTGAGGCCGTGACCACGGTGTGTGAATGTGGCAGGTGGCACTGTGTGTGGTCGCTCCTGTCATCAGTGTAAGAATGGGTGTGAATGATGTCATGTAGTGTTAAGAGGTCGGAAGACTAGAAAAGTGCTGTACAAGTACAGACCATTTACCATATGACGCAAGTAACACACATTTGACAATAATCGCGTCAATAATCAGCGCTTCGTGCAAACAATCGTTGTTTATTTTTTGCCCAGAACGGACAGCGCACCCTGGGCTCTATAAGGAGCCGGGTTTTTGCGTTGTTGTGTCTGCCACCGTGGTTCTCCGACGCGATCCGCACACAACCGGTTTGGTTGCAGTCTGCAGCCTCGCTGCTAGATGGCGCCAAGTCCCACAAACTGGCCCTTTGTAAAATACTTTGACAGAGCGACACAGTTCTGGTCTCCACCTCCCTCCGCCTTTAGTTTCATTTGCACAAAAGAATGAGACAACATTTTCAATTGACAAGATGTTTAAGATGAATTTGGTTGATCGCATTATGATAATATGATAATACTATCACAGTAACACCCTCACTCTGGAATTCTTTTGGCCACAATAAACCTGATATTGGAACAGCCCAACTTTTGATGTTGAGCATTGTGTGCACTTTTAAGAAGTTTAAAAACAAATTCCCTTAGACTCGTTGTTTATACTGTTTATAATATGCATTATATATATATATATATATATATATATATATATATATATATGTATTGCGAACTAGGATTTCACTGTTTTCTTTGTGGTAACAGTGATTGTAATTTCTTTGGCGTCGGCCAGCACACAGAGGCCAGAGGGCTCACAAAGAGCAGCGGAGAAGTACACAAGAAACCATATGTTCACGTGGAGCGCGCCACCGCCCCCCTCCAGTTCGCTTGCTATGGGCGTACGCGGAGGAGTCTTCACCCTGACGTTCGCCAAGTTGAACCTCCGACTCCGGGACCATCTTTTCAGAACGCTGATGAGGCAGGAAATTGCTTTCTTTGATGAAAACCACACAGGTGAGTGTAGGACCACTCTTGACTTCTCTGAGGGGGGGCGGGGCTTCTCCAACACAACGGCGCCCTCCTAAAGCCGTTACCTGCCCCGCGTTGCCCCCGCAGGCGACATCATCTCGCGCCTGTCGGCGGACACCACGCAGGTGAGTGACCTCGTCTCGGTGAACATCAACATCTTCCTGCGGAGCGTCGTCAAGGGCGCCGGCTTCTCCATCTTCATGCTCGGGATTTCCTGGAAGCTCACGATGGTGGCCCTCATGGGCTTCCCCTTCATCGGCTTCGTCTCCAAGTTTTACGGCGACTACTACAAGGTGGAGGAGATTTCTGGAATGAAGTCAAACTCAAAGTTGTATCTGTGTCTTCATTTTCTCTCATTTGTTTTTGCTTCAGAAATTGACCAAAGAGGTGCAAACAGTCCTCGCCGAGGCCAACAAAGTGGCGGAGGAGACCATCTCGGCCATGAGGACGGTGCGAAGCTTCGCCAACGAGGACGGGGAGGCGGAGTCCTACTACGGCAAGCTCCTGGATATGTTCCAGCTGAACAAAAAGCAAGCCCTGGCCTACGCCGGCTACATGTGGTCCAGTTCGGTAGGCGTCGCCGCCCGCCCCCCCTCAGACAAAGACGCAGAAACACCCAATCTGTAAGGAAATGTTATTGGTCCGTTCACACCTGCAGGTCTCGTGTGTTTTTTTAATTCTTTCAGATCTCTGAGCTTGCCTTAGAGGTCGCTATCCTCTACTACGGCGGCCACCTTGTAGTAACCGGTCAGATGACCGGCGGGGCCTTGATCTCTTTTTTTATATACATGCTCGAAATGGGAGAATGTCTGGAGGTAGGTCATCCATTTTTTTTATTAATCTCCTTTCTGGGTACAAAGCCACCGATCTCCTTAACCGAAGGCGCTCGTGCGGTTCCTCCCCCCCCCCCCCCCCCCCTGCAGAGCATCTCGTCGGTGTAACACGGGCCTCATGCAGGGAGTCGGGGGCCGCCGAGAAAGTCTTCGAGTACCTGGACAGGAAGCCCAAACAACCGGCCGAGGGCACGGAGGCTCCGGACACGTGCGCCGGCGTGGTCGAGTTCAGGGACATCACGTTCGCCTACCCGACGCGCCCCGACATCGATATTCTCAAGGTGCGACAAACCACTTCTTCAGTTTGGCCTGATCCCTCGGATCGGCGTTACGTGGTTTGGCGAAAAAAAGAGGGACATCTATTTGAAAAATGACCCGTTTTCATCAATGTAAGCGGCTTATCTACTCCTCTCTGCATGGATGTCTTTGGCAGGGGTTGTCATTCACCATGCGGCCCGGGGAGGTCACCGCCCTCGTGGGACCTTCGGGCAGCGGGAAGAGCTCCTGTGTGAGTCTGCTGGAAAACTTCTACCTCCCCCAGAAAGGACAGGTGCTGCTGGACGGGACGCCTGTTCACGCCTACCGCCACGACTACCTCCACTCCAAGGTCTGTCTGCACCGGGCCACCATTCCAAAACGAATGAAAACACTTATAATCGGCCTCTCATTACCTCTCCGAACCAATCGGGGAGTCTTGCACACGTGAAATCTTTTGCCTGTTTCTGTGTCGCTGCAGATCGGGCTTGTGGGCCAAGAGCCGGTGCTGTTTGCCCGGACGGTGGAGCAGAACATCACGTACGGCCTGACCGGCGTCCCCGCGGAGGCTGTGCAGCAGGCCGCCACCGAGGCTAATGCTCACGATTTCATCACGGCGCTGCCCGCGGGCTACGAGACAGGTACTCGTTGACTAGAGAATGAAGTAAAAGCGAGTGCTCTGCTCTGACGGTGTGTGCAGGGGGGGGCCATGATAGGATTTCTCACCAGAACCATCTGCATTTTGCCTCGAAAGAAAGACGTCTGCTGCAGCGCTTTTGCACAGGCAGTCGAACGCGCTCTGTCCCCCGATTCTGTCGAGTGCAGCCAATGAGCAAGTGTATTAAATATTAGATTCTCTCTTTAGTTTCGAGTCCCAATCGATGAAATTGCTGAAAAGGGCAATGCATAAAAACTGGGTGACGACAGGAGTACTACTTCCACTTCCTGTGTGCAGTCCATGGTTTGGATGCTGGTTAATGTGGTGGAGAGGTTGCTAGCAGGCCAGCTAGGTAACTAGTTTTAACCAGCCATGGTGTTAAGTGCACATTTTTCCCGAGACCTCTGTTGCTCTTGAGGCTTTCAGGGGTCTCAAGCGTCAATTAGGGTCAGAATTTGGCCCACTGCTGGCGATATTAACCAAGTCAAACACTATTTACCATTTTGGATTAGAATTTAAACTATCGCCCTCATAATGCCTCCCTGCACTTGTATCTCAAATACGACTTGGTAAAAACACGCTATTGGAAAAAGTGCTTCATGAAGGTGAGGTCATGCAGCGGAGATATCCCCCCCCCCCCAGGTGTCGGAGAGAAAGGCACCCAGTTGTCCGGGGGGCAGAAACAGCGCGTGGCCATCGCCAGAGCTCTCATCCGCAACCCTCGAGTTCTCATCCTGGACGAGGCGACCAGCGCCCTGGACGCGGAGAGCGAACACGCAGTAAGTTAAAAGGCCGCGCTGGCAAACTAAGAGCTTGTCTCGGGGGATGGGGGGCAGGGGGGGCTTTGCTAATCTCCGGCCTCCCTTTCGCTCGCAGGTGCAGTCGGCGCTGAACAACATCATGCAGGAGCACACGGTGTTGGTGGTCGCACACCGGCTCACCACGGTGGAGAGGGCGGACAACATTGTGGTGATCGACAAGGGCCGCGTGGCAGAGCAGGGGTCTCACGCTCAGCTGATGGCCGGCGGGGGGCTCTACTGCAAGCTGGTGCAGAGGCAGGTGCTGGGCATCGAGACGGGGGCCGAGGTCCTCAACCCGGTGGAGGGAGGCAGCCCAAAGCCAGGTGGCGGACGGCAGCGGGGAAGACAAAGCAGCAGCGGCAGCGGCAGCGAGCCGGAGTGCAATGTGCGCTACTGAGACGTCCGTGAGCGTTGCATAGGATGTTTTGGACACTGGGATTTCTGTGTATGAACATCCTTGTGTGCTCGAGGTCCCTCGAGACGAATTTACACAACAGCACTTGAAAAATACAAAGAAAGGGAAAATATATTTGAATGTATGAGCACACATCAGAGGGTTGGCATTGAAACTAGGGGACGAATAAATGTCCACAATCATGAACTGATATTTCAGCTTTAATAATGTGCAATATGTTTGCGTATTGTACTTTATAAGGTTGTTTGTTTTAAAACATCTACAATGCAGACTAATGAATTATTGTTTTATTTAAGTCTTCCTCAGGATTTGTTTTCCTATGACAAGAGTTTTACGGTGAAATGTGTGGAAATGCGTGGTTTTACTTCAAGAATGTTTAATTCTATAATGGGTAATCCAACAAGTGAGTGGTGTAATGTCTAAAGGGGGCCTTTGTTGAATTCCATTCACTACATTGATATACGATTGTCGGTCCCAGGGACGAATCAGTGACTCTAGCAATAAATAGATTGTCTAAATGACTAAATAAAAGCTCTATGGAAATAAACTGCATAGTAGCCTTTATGGAAACAACCATGTTGAAAAACTATGCTGCATTCATACTCCCCTCGTAAATCCCACTGACTCAGATACCGTCCGATGTGACGGAAAAACGGAAGCTGAAACATTTCATTTTGAGGGGTTGATTATTTTTTTTAGCATCATACAAGATAATAGCTTCCGTTGTGGCCTTATTGATCGTGGGGCTTCAAAACTATTTGACAGCAACCATGACAGCTTTTACCACGTCACATTGCAGTGTATTTGTATTATGAAGTAGGTGTGAGGCAATTACTTCAATTTACAGATATTTACAAGATACAGATATACCGATAGCCTATTTATTATCTTAAAATAGGATTTAAATAAGTAAAACAAGTTTGCTCATATTTATTTGGCAATGTAATTGTGTGTGTAATTGTAGTGTGTTTTCTTTGGCCACTGACACCCGTCATTGGGTTTACCGGTCAACGCGATTTATCCGACAGCCCCTGAAGGCAGCACGGGCCTGACACTACTTCCTGTAGAAGAAGCTCAGTCAGCTGTCACAATCCGAGGAGCGAGACGAGGGCTCACAGGCCGAGAGACGCGCACACGCCAAAATGTCCAGTTTCAACAGCAAGTTTGACGCTTACTCGATGACTCAACTCAACGAATTTCTAGAGGACGACGAAAAACTCTCCAAAATGGTCCAGGAGATGGACGAGGTATGTCGAGCTAACGTTCGTACTTCCAGCGGTCGCCGCTGACTCCTTCTCGGTCACTGTGTGTTTTTCTCTCCAACCCTTTGTTGTGTTTTCTCCACGTCTCCTTCGGTGCGATAATGGCTGCTCCCCATCCGTGTCACTAATGCGGTGTCCGCCGGACTTAATAGTTCTGCAAACCGAACCGAGGCACCGCTCGTTAACCTTGGGGGGGGCGAACCGGGGCGAGCGAGCATTGTCTCAAGTTTAACGCGCGCGAGCGAACCCGCTCCGGCCGAAGCTCGTATTAACGGACCGGATTTTTTTTTAGACAAATCCCGAGTTTGTCTCTGTGAACATCGAAAGTGAAACAACCTGCGTAGTTTCCCCGCACTTTTGGGGACAGGTCGCCACAACTAAAGTCCACGCGATGACCGGCCGCGTTGTTGCGCGACCGCGCCGGTTCCACCGATACCAAACACAAACACCGCCTCGCGCCCGTGACTCAGCTCCACGGACCCGGAACAATCGGCCGTTCTTCCACCATTACGACACCGCTTCTTCAACGCCGGGTCTCGTATTGTTGAACATAGCTGTGTCCGGTTCACCGGATCGCCTTTGTACTTCACGAATGTGTCCAAACGTGTCAGGTGGCGAAAGGGACACGAATGGACACTTTCAGAGTCGCTCAGTTCCAAACGGGCCTTTTGGAGCTCGTTTGTTTTCATTTTGTGGCCCGGATCCAACAGCACAAGGACAACTTGCCAGGTGTACCTGCTTTTTTTGCAATCTTATCACAAGTCGAATGATAAGCTCCAGTTTTTCCACAGAACAAGCTGTAATTCTTAAACCACAATCACCATATCAAGAGGTCGTGCTGACACAACACCCCCCCTCCCCTTTTCTCTTTTCAAACACAGGAGTTGTGCTAATGATGAATTCCCAGGCGGGTGATTTATTTCGCCCGGCCGATCCCCAGAGTTCGGGAAATTCTTCCCACCGTGAAGCGAACGCTTCCGTCACCTCCTCCTCCTCTTTCTTTTCACACCCGTAATCAGTAATCGGAAACATTGTCGCAGGACTCGTTGCCCGTCGTCATGGCGCTGAGCGTTTCCCTCGTGGCGCTCTCGTTTCAACAGACCTGTGGCCGAATGCTCGAACGCGAGAAACTTTTGCTTTTGGGGTTCTTTTGCCTCACATAAAGCACATAGGTAACACAAACAGGCAGAGTGTGATGCCCTGAGCTGGGTCTTGTTGTGTTACCGCCTATTTTTATTTTTTTATCCACACCCCTTGTGGCCACCTGTCCCCAGTGGTTTTGTTCCTGTCTTCCCCACTTCCCCATAGCCTCTTACAGCAGGAGGACACTGAGTGAAGTCATCGCTCCTGGAGGGATGCAACCAGACAAGTGATGACACGTCTGAGCCCAAGGTTTGGGGATAGTCATCTCGCTGCGCCGCGCATGGAACAAAAGGCGGCGTCGGGTGGAACCCGAGAGCGCTGAGAACTCTGCACCTGGGGTACGTGGACGCTTACCCGTCCCGCCAGAGGTGTGTGGGCGCGCGCTGCCCGCTGGAGGCAGTAATCTGCTTGATTAGCCGTGAAGCGCTGACTAAAAGCCGCACGTGCCCGCCTCTTTTTTGAATAATGTAAAGCGTTTTCCGTCGGGAATTTGTTTGTATTCAGCGCACCCTGTTTGTCTGAACTAGAGCGTGTTGTACCTTTGGAAGGTACAGCATCGGGGTTTTTTCTTCTTCTGTTTTTTGGGTACCAGCAGGCCTGTTTTTCTCGCGTAGTGGCCACTGCGCTGAAAGCCGCCATGTTCTCGACCTGCAGGGGACCCAGTGCTCCGCTGCCAACGCGCACCATGTTTATGACTTCATTTAAAACGCTTTCCCCTTTACGTCTCCTTTTCAAAGCGAGTTGCCATTAAGCCGAGGATGGTCGCTCTCATTTGGCTTCATGTCTTTAGGGGGGTAATCCGGGGGTTACATCGGGCAGCTCGCTGCCATTGGAGTCGCTGTTTTGATGGAGGGTAAACCTCGAAAGTGCATTTCTAGTAACTAATTGTCGGGATTGCACTTACTGGAATAGTTTTGACTTGGGCCGATGTAGCCATTACAATATATCAGCCTTAGTTATTTATTTCAACATACAAACCAAAAAACACTCTATGATCCAAGTTCGCAGATTGAAAGAATCTTCGGTACGAGTGGCTGAGTACTTGTCTTTTCTTTTTCATTCCGCCAATAAATCAGCAATTGGCCCGTATTTGGCTGTCAGATTTGAACGCATGGCCCAGACCCAATGCCAATACGACCGTCCTCTAATAGTTCTATTCAATACTTTCTGGGTAGACAATGTGACTGTTTTGGCCGACAAGTCGAGTCTCCACAGAGCATCGCCATTCTCGTTTCTAGGTCGGCGTTCCTCGAGCCAAAGCTTGGTTTCCAACTCATCCAGTTTCACACTTGCGTAACGACGTCCTGTGAGGTCGTCATGTCGCTTTTACTCGCGGAATTGCTGAAGATAAATGTGCTTCTAATTTTAGAGGCCTACTGCTACTACAACAGCAGCAAGTCCGTTTGTGGTTGGCCTGCTCTCTAAATCCAAGTCCGTGGTCTCTCCAAACAAGCTCCTAACCTACATTCCCTCCCCTTTACGGAGCGAATGGAGTCCCCCCCCCACACACACACACACACACACACACACACACACAACGTGCTCACAGGCCTGCAGTTAAGGATGCTATTTAAAGGTCTGCTTCTCCAGCGGGCCGCGGACAATAAGTGAATCGGGCTTTTTAGAAAAAGGAGGAGTCACTTCGGGATAAGAAAAGTCCAGTGGTATAAACGGGCTCATTTAGCCGCGTTTCCTGCATGGACTGTGTCCTTTTCCGTCCGTCTATTTTGAGGGTGTTCCTGCGTGTTCTCGCTGACCAATCCTGGTTATATTTGCACATTATAGCGTGTTGGTTGTTTGCCGTGTGAAATGAGTCATTGAGAAGTAGCGGGAGACATTTGTTTCCTTTTTTTCCCCCTCAAGCAAAAGTGCTGCAAATTGTCAGCATCCAGCGTATTTCTATCTATTTGTGGCTGTTTTGCTATATATGTGTAGACTGGATCCCGGACCAGAGTCAAGGATTGGATCCGTTCTTAATGACGTTTTCTTTTCAGCTGACACCACTCATTGTTGACCATATAGATACTCTCATTGTTTGATTACAGCTGCAGGCCTTTTGTTGCCAAAATCATTTCAACTACCCTAAAGTCTGTAAACCATCAACATTCTTAATAATATCCCCATATACGTACTCATCGTGACGTCACCCGGCGGTTTGCAGGCCTCCGTTTTGAAACCTTGATTTTTGGCCTTTTGGTCGTCGCCACCTGTTTCTTTTGCTACCAGACGTGAAGCGAGAGGGTAGAGTTCAACTGAATAATATACATGCTATAATTAAATACACGGTGAGAGGGTTAAAGGTCAAAGAGCAAAACACAGGCCACTCCCAGACTTTCCATGGTAGCCCCGCCCTCAAGCTCCAAATGGATCTTTGTTTACTAAATGAACATCATGCTGTGTTAAAGACTTGAAACTAGAGTTGGAGACCATAAACTCATGTTTACTGCGGGAATAATCAGGACAGAAGTAGAAGCGTTGTCTCGGACGACTATCAGCAGTCGCCCCCGTTGGTCAGTACAGAGGATACAGGTTGGAGAGTTACGCATCGGCTTCGCTCTCAAACTCCGCCTAATGGTAAATGATACAAAGGTCACCTTTTGGGTCTGATAAAACAAAATATAAAGATGTCGTCCTGCCAACCGGCAATTCTACCCTTCCAAAGATGAATCGATCAATGGAGAATGGGACAAGTCTGGATGAAATACAGCCATCGTTAATTCTTATTGGATACACTTGTTATACGTGTTATCCTGCCATGACCAGTCACATGGTCTGTGTTGGAAAGGGTTGCTTGGTTGGTAACACAGCCTTCCCCCCCCCCCGTACTTTACGTTACTTAACCTTAAAAAATTCACATTGCTGAAATGAAACCATAAACAGTTGTAAAATACATTTTTGGCGTCTTCGAGAGAGGCTGCTGGTTCTGAATAGCTCCGTCACACATTTGTCCTCACCTTTTCTCTTCCTAAAAATATGGGAAGAGGCTCATGGGAGCGGTGTGGAGAAGAAACTGGCAGGTTAAGTGCAATGATTCATATTTATCATTCTCCACAACTACTCTTTCATTTCGAAGACGTTCACAGTAGCATCGATCTCATCTTATTTGACGCAGGAAATAAAAAGGTCCTGCTAGCTGTGGAAACTCACCTGGTTCCTTTTCCCTTGTGCTTGACTTTGTCGTGTCCTCGTAGATGCAGGAGGTGCAGCAGAGCAAGGCGACGACGCTGGTCGGCAACAGAACCCTGGCGGAGCAGAACCTGGCCCTGCAGCCCAGACTGGATCACAAGAAGGAGGAGCTCACCAAGCGCTACAACGCCCTCCAGGAGGACTTTGAGTCCTACCAGCTCCACAAATCCACCCTAGGTACAGCAGCAGGGCAGCCGTCGCGTGAAAGGGAGACCAAGCGGCGGTTATTGATTCGATCCTCTCAGCTACTTGAATTCTGATGAATTTCAGAACTCTTTTCCATAAAGTCATTGGAAAACTGATACATAGACAAAATGCTTCAAACAGAAATCTACATCGTAAGACATTTGGCTTCTGGCCTTTAAGACATGTTCAAACCGGATCGATATTACAGAAGCTTTCTGGCTACCGTGCTGGTGGCTTGTTACCGGTGCTGTACGCGTATGTAAATACATATGTACACACACAAGCAAGCACAAAGAGGACGTGCGACCAAAATGAAAGTGTGAAAACTTCATAAACTGGTGGTAACTAGCTGTATTCTTGGACTATTTTATTGCCTTTGTAGAAGCCCTGTTACTGAAGCGTCTGAAAACACAGCATCCATCTCAAAGCATTTTGCCATATTGGTGTTATTCTGGTAGTTTTTCAAAGGACCAACTTGGCCACATCTCATCTCCCATTTATTCAAGTATGTTTACAGATCAGCGTCTCAATCGGAGAAGGGACCAGAACTCTAATTACGGGTATTTAGATAATTGGATAGTGACAGCTGACAAGGGTTCCTGTCTAACGGCTGTGCGGCCACAACAACAGAGTCGTCCCCATAGGACGCTTTGTTCTCCTGCACGCACGCACACGCACTGGAGAGACCTGTTGTGCGGGTTTGCTGGTGTTTCTCCATCAGACGCCGTAGCTTCCCCTTTTTTTTCTTCTTTTCTGCAATTTGAACTCATTGTTTTCTGCGGTTGAGCTGGTTCCAGATCTGATTTGTGCTGCAACTTCTCATAAGCGACTTACAGGAATATATATATGAACCCTTAAGGCGCACTTTCACAGTACCTCCTAGTGTGTGAAGAAGAGGGCGGGACCATGCTTGTGACCTTGGTGACGCATGCGCCGGTTGCTAAGCAGCCGGCTCAAAATAGCATGCCCACGATTCCGCCACGCTAATAAAAGTTTAGACTTTGCTTTCTTCCCTCTTCTAAAGATGTCGGCATGTTTACTAGAGGTCTGCTGCCCTACCAGTATAAAAGTAAATATTCAATTTTCCCTCATAGTTAATTATTTATCAAACCACTAGATCTAACCGTCCCGTTCAGGTTTGTGGGGAGGAGATGGGGGCGTGGCCTATTTAGATTTTATTTGTCACAACTGGTGTACTTCAAAAACCGGCTTCAGTCGGGTAAAGTTTGATTGTCTGAGTATAGAAAATAAGTGGCGCTACCTGGATCTTCATCTTAGGGAGCACCAGCGTTTCCTTTCGACAAATGTAGGTTAGTCGCTGGAGGAATGTGAGGCCTCTGCCGTACTCCTCGCTGTCCATTGGACTCCGGAGGCCGGGGGTGGCAGGGGCAGCCCCGTCACCTCCACCACCTAGCAGCCCCGGGCCACAGTGGGTCCTTTGTGCTGCCAGGCGGGCTGCAGCCCCGGACGGAGAGAGACCCGATGTGGAGCCACTTACTAAATGTCTGTCTCATGATCGCCAGACGTTGTGTTGTGTGCCCCCGGCGGGGCTCTGTGCTCCGCCAGAGAATCGCAGCTTTGTGCGGAGGAGGGCTGCTCAGTCCGCCTCGGTGCATCTTGGAACGTTTTTCCACTCAATCCAAAATCTGGCATATCGACACGATATTTTGGCATCTCCCGCTTCCACTTTTTCTTTTTCTTTTTTAACAGTGAAAATGTCATTTTTGACAAATCTCTTTGAATTCCCCCAAAACCATTTTTTTCTCTGCCCAGTCAAAGGCGGAAGTTCCACAAAAGGATTATACAACTATTTGTCCCGCGCGTCATTCTGCTGACGCGTGAAACAAGAAGAGTGGCCGAGCTGATAATCATTAGCTCTTAGCCAATCATTGTTTCTATTGATGTGATGTCTTTTGTGGACTTGAGGATCTCGTCCTTATAAAGGCTGAGAAGACCAGCACTCAAAGGGCAAACCGTAGCCAGTTGGACCAGCTTGTTGCATAATTCAAGCATTTAGCTTTTTATGTAAACCGCCGAGCGGTTGGCGTTTGGGCAAAGGTTTAGTTGTGTTGTTACTTTTACCAGAGAGAAGCCCTACAGGAAACCCCCCAATACTCCTTGTGTAGTGCAGATCTCTTGTGTTTATGTTGAGGCTGTCTTAAAATCCCCCTGCCAGCTGGGGGTCCTCACCACAGCTTATTTGTGTACTCTGAGGCAATTACCACACTTTAAGAAAGTGGGGTAGTAGCTCAGCCTTTTGCTAATATATGACTTTCATATTTTCCCTTTAGGGACTTATTAGAAATTTAAATTAAAGCTACCACAAGGAATTTTCATTTGTTGTTGATTCTGGCGGTTCTTGTGGACAGGAATGGTAATGTGACCAAACACCAGAGTACTTTTTTATTTTTATTTAATGCACACAGTGGCAGTGATGACAAGAAGAATAACCACGTAGGAGTATCCAATCTTCTCCTGCAGGTCTTATAGAGCAATCAGTATTACATTTTACTGCTTCATAATAAAAGCCTTTACATACCAGAGGACTTTTAATGTGAGAAATACAGGGCATGATATGTGTTTACAGCCGTTCTTTTGAATGCTACCCTTCGCTGCAGACACACACCTTCCACCAGGCAGCCCTGTCGAGATGCAAATCCTGGCTATGGTCCCATAGAGTGAAGTCGATGTTGGGACCGCATGTCCGGGTTGGACTGCCGGCTTTATTCTTTATTCCAATAAAGAAGGTCCACTATATTCTCGTGTCTAGGCTCGGCGGAATGATGGCGAGATGATAATTCTCCACCCATTGCCGTTTTTGGTTGTGTGTGTGTGTAATCGCTGCCCTGGTTGGTGTTGACTTTCAGTACAACTTCGAATCCAAAACCAAACAGACCCCGTCCTTAAAGACGTCGAGGCGTTTCTCTGTTGACTCTGTGGGCCTTTGCAGGTTCACAGCAAACAGGGCGGCGTAGCGGCTGCTTGGATGAGTCAGTCACAGGACCGAGACTGTCCGGTTTCACTTATCCGGCCTCAGCTTGGTTGCAACAGGCGTATTATTTAAATTAATTTTATCATCATCCACTTCATTTCAATTACGTGGAGGGTTTATTGTGGGGGAGGGGCGGGGCCGGCTTGCCCCCGCAAAATATTTTATTAACTGAGCCGTTAAGTTAATCCAGATGGCATCTGTGCTGGGAGCAGAGTGTAAACAGTACGCCGGTCTTCTTGTGACTCTGCGCTGTTGAAAAAGCACGAGATGAATGTTCTATTGTTGTTGCCGCTCGGTTTCACAGGCGGAAAGGAGCCTCCGTCACAAGAGGTATATCTAAACCCAGCCAAATAACCCTGTTCATGGTGTTCATGCATAACCACTATCCGGTTTTATGTTACTTACCAACGAAATAACTCATTTGTACGCAATAAAAATGACGACACTGAAAAGGGTGCACCCTTCTAATATGGCTGGATTAGCCTGGAAAAAAGTTATCCTCATGGCACAAACGTTTCAGGCTTCAACTGTAGCCGTTGTGTCCTTGTCTGGTTCCACATTTGTTCCACGTGTGTCCGTCAGGAAAATGACATCTCGACATCTTTTTATTGAACAGATCACAAGTCTGGAAACATCTCCCTGGACATCTTGCTGGCCCTGCTGCAGGCGGAGGGGGCCAAAATAGAGGAAGAGACGGAGGTAAGCGCTGCACCCCTCGGCGACTGATGTCTGTAGCACGCACACACACACACACACACACACACACACACACACACACACACACACACACACAAAGATGTCTTCCAAAAGGCTTGAGTGATAAAACCACATCTGCAGAATAACTGTTGGAGGTCCCACATTTCCTGCCTCCACCTGTCGGCGAAGGCCCATTAGGGCGATTCTAGGTTTTTATAAAATGAACTCTATTGGGGGAAGTACTCTTCCTATTTTCTGAGATTCTAAAATCAGGAATTTGGAAGAAAACCCAACAGGAGCACTGCGGCGGAGTAACAGGATCTTAGTTACGACATTTTCTCCTTATTTTTCAAAACGGTTCAAGGTTCCTCACAGTACCGTACGGCAACTCTTCATTTGAGAGGCCTCGTGGAACTATTGTATTTCTTTATTGTTTGACTGTTTCACCTCCCCATATATCTTCAGTTATTAATCTTCTGATAAGTCAAGTCACTTCTTGTCAGAAGCGCGTGTCATTTATTGACGTTTTAAATGCCGAAGTTCAACTGTTCCCAGCTTGAATCTCGCCTCAGATCCACATTGCACATGTCTAGAGCTGATTCAGCTTTATTTCTTTTAATTTTTCTCTCACTAATACATCTCTTCACCGCTGCCCACAGAACATGGCTGAGTCGTTCCTGGATGGCGACATGACCCTGGAGTCCTTTGTCGACGGATACCAGAGCAACAGGAAGCTGGCCCACTTGAGACGGGTGAAGATCGAGAAGCTGCAGGAGATGGTGCTGAACGGCCACCGGCTCCCCCAGGCGTCCGTCCCCAACTCCCGATCTCAGGATGTGTCGGCGGGAAGACTCCCCTCCGCCTCCTCCTTCCTCAGCGAGGCCGACGGCTCATCCCCCGTGGCCCAGCCCAGGAGGAAACCCCCACTCCCGCCGTCGCAGCCGGCGCCGGTTCTAAATCCCATTCCTGCTGCCACCGCCCCCCAGCCTCCCCAAGCCTTGTACACGGTGTCGCCGTACCCACCGATCCCTCCCAGGACTGGCCAGGTCTTCCCCAACGTCCCCACCGGCTACCCAAACCACTTCCTGTCCCAGTACCCGCCCGCTGTGCCTCAGCGGGCCCCGCCCCGCATGGCCCCGCAGCCCGGCTTCATCATGCAGTAGGTAAACAAAGGCAACTGCCGCTGCAAGAGGAGTGTGCGTCGCAGACTATCCACTACCAGAACTCCACGAGAACAATATATACATCTTTTTTTTTTTCTACAACTGCGGCCTCTCTTGGAATACAGCCAATTGGAAGGCGAGAGGGCGGACCCCGCATCGGCAGGCCGGGTCGTGTTCGGCTAATCCGATAATCTGTGTGGATCCGCTATCACCTCTCGCTCCTGTTAACACTCCCAACAAAGAAACGGACAACGAATACAAGAAGGTGCGGGATCGGTCCGGGCGCAGGCTGTCTGAGCTGGGACCACTCTGTCCCCTGCTGGTGCTCACCCATCTCTCCACACCCCCTTGTTTTAAAAGGGTTCGATTAGTGATTTCCATCCATGCATACCTACTCACAGGTAATTCAAATGCAAGCAAAGAGACCCTAATTACTGTGCAGTAATCCCAAAACGCATTCAGGTGAAAGCTGCATCACAGGCTGTGACTTTAATATTTAAAATTCACTTGGTACGTGGAGATATTCGGGTGCCGGTGTCTGTTTTACCATATACTACTAACGATTAACTGGTGTATAGAAAGGAAAGGCTGTGGTTGGCACGTCTCCTCTCTGACATGCAGACGCTTCCTCTAGAAAGAGAAAGGCCGGAGCTGCCCAGGCCCAAGATGGCCGACTGACCGGCTCGTCTCGGTGGCGGAAGTTTAAAAAAAGGGAGTCGACTGAGAGGATGACCTTTTGTGACAAATGACTGGGCGCCGTTGCCTGAAATGAAGGATTTTTTTGTTGTCTTTTCTTGTATAGCCATACAGTACACTGGTTTGTTTTTCTGTAGGTTCCCGTTGTAATGAAACGCCCTTTTTTTGATACAATGACTGTTGTCTTAAATCATCCTCAATCGAGATCTGAAATCACTGCAAACATTCTTGTGAGTTTCACACTTGCGCACCAAAGACTCTGTGTTCAACAGTTATCTTGTTTTTTTTTATTATGCAAGTGAAACATGTTGTGAACTAGTGCAGCATCGTCCCCGTCGAGCTCAAACACAGTTTTGTAAACACGCAAGGGACATTTCTCTTCTCGAGGAACTTGCGAGGTCAACCAGGCTTTGGGAGGAACCATTTTACTTTATTTTCTCTGGTGTGATCAAAAAAACAAAAACACACAACCGTCAAGCAACACACATTTTGTTTCTTGGTTTATCTCCTCCCAGCCGGTGTCGCTGTGCACTGATGAAGAGCCACGAGTGCCTACACTTGAAGTGACGTCGATGGCGTCCGGCTGACGAACCCTGCAGTCTTTCTCTATGATCAGCTGTTGGGGTTAGCACGACCCCCCCACCCCTCTCCTCCCCCCACTCCTCCCTCCCACCCGAGCTGTTGGTCCTCTCCTCCTGCTGCTGACTTCCATTTCCGCCAGATGGTCGGAAGCCAGCTGACTGGTGGTTGTCGGGACTTCGCTTTCCCAACTAGAAGCAGAGAAACAGCGACGCCAACCCCCCCCTACCCCCCCCCGCATGTCTTGTCGCTGTTTTTTTTTTTAATTGCGGGAATAAAGGCCCTGAAATGTGTCGGGTCACGTCTCAAAGCAGAGAATCGGACCGCAGGACAAACGAAGCACACCAGAAGAACAGATGTCTGAAGCTAAAAACATCAAGATTGCGATTTCTTTTGATAAAAAAAAAAAAACTAACTATGGATAATTGTGTGCATGGCCTTTGCTCTTTGTTTTAGTCCAGTCTGATTCTTTTATAGTTTTTTCTTTAGCTGTTGAGCTGCTCCCTGTGTTCAAACTGCTCCTCTCTCCATGGTTCTATATGTGGTTGGTAATGTTTTTAGTGTAATATTGTAGTATTTACTTCAGATGAATGTTTCAGTGGAATTTAATGCTATTTTCCAGTTCAATAAATCTCAGATTTTTGTATCTGCTTTGATCTAGTTGCCTCATTGTTACACATCTGACTTTTCGGTTTCCCAGTTTGCTCATTGATGTGGCTCCTAAGGCGAAGTTGCGGTTTGTTCACGAAGCAACAAGTTGTTGTTTTTTAGTTTGTAATGAAGCGAGACCGCCATCTAGTGTTCCAGCAACACTAGTGGAAAAACTTTAAAAATCCACTTCAATGTTTCAAGGATATCTAAATACTTCTACTCTGTATATGATCTCTACTATTGAATCACAGCTATATTACGGTATTATGTAACTATTGCCAGGTAATGTTGGCGATGTCACCATGCAGTGTATATTAAAATGGACGTAATGGTATTTCCCTCATGGTATGTTGGCTGTCTGCTGGAATATGACTTACTTTGTGTTAAGTGTGTCCGTTTCTGGTAATGAGACAGTTTGTGTTACCAGTTAAACGCACTTCTTGTGTTGCATTCAGGCCCCTTTTGACGCAGGGGAGTTTTTAATCGTAGGAAACCCGCTAACTCGCCCGCGCGTGCTTCGCAATGCGTGTGCATCCTGTCAACTCCCAGGAATTATATGCAGCTTCAAAATGAGCAACGATACGAATGATCTCAACTATTTCCCGAAGTGGTTGCCATCATCCGCTGCAGGGCGCAAACCTCCCCGATGGGGCTCTCGCGTTAGAATGGGCGCGTCGCGTGAGGCGCAAACACGCTTCATGTGTCTCTTGCAAAAGCAAAATTGCGAACGTTTTTTTTTTTTTTCCGTGTGTGCGCGTTTATTAAATTAAACTTTCGGATAAATCGTGACAACTCGTGAAACCTTCAAATACAGCCAGGGGAGTGTCTATTCAAAGAACACTGAAGGCTTATTGAATCATTATGGATGTTTTCGGGCACCACTAAGTCGCTTTGTCGCACCACCTCCATCAGACGCTTTCCCTGCACTGCAGCAGCAGCTCCAGGTGCTCCTCGCCCCCTTTTTTTCCCTGCTCGGTCGTGGGCGAGTAGAAGCAGGAGGGGAGGTCGCCCCTTAAGAACAGCCTCGTATTTTGCAACGCACCCCCAAAAACCCCCCGCGTTACGTTTCCATAGTCACGTCACATCGGCTCCACCATGTTGTAGGAAGTCCGCCGCTCCTCCTCGCTCCCTGTCAGATTACCGTTTAATCTGAGGGGGAGGACACGCCGCCAAGACGCAGTCTGCATCTTGGAAGGACTCTCGGTGTTTATCCACAGCCAGCGGCGTTCACCGCGACTTGACGTGAGGCCATTGCTTTTTCTGCCATAAACGTCCTAGAAGATGAGACGCCAGTTTCCCATCCCGGTTTTTTCCCGTCTGCCGATTTGCCGACACGTTAAAATGTTAGCCGGCTAACTAGCTGAAAAAAAGAGTAACTAAATCGGATTAAGTTGGTTAACAACGGCCGCCTCCCGGGCAGGTATTACTTGACAAACTATTACGAGGCACGCGTTCGCCTTTTGTCTCTCCCGTGTGTCGCGTTACGTCGACATTACTACTTTGTACCGTTATTACTCGCTAGCGTCGATGTCGTCGCAAGTGTTAGCTTAGCGCGAGGTAATTAGCCCACCGACTCGCGAACGGAGAGCGCGAGCCCGCTTCGCCGCGAGCTAATCTTCCCCCGTTAGGTCGGAAACGACCGCGAGCCGAGTGACGCCGCCGCGGCAGCAGCAGCAGCAGCAGCAGCGCGCGGCCGGCGCGGCCGACGTGCTACCCGGCGTGTGCGGCCGTCCAGCTGGCGAGAGAGACGCCCAACAAAAATCTCATCCCCGAGATTAGTCCTCCGACGAAGCGAAGATGTCCGGGAAGGATAAGGACAAAGACAAAGCGGAGAAACAGTCCACGACGGAGCGGCTGGTCAAAGGTAAGCGCGTCTTCTTTCTAACAGTCGGACACGTTAAAACGTTACTTGCCTATAAAAAAAAACAGGCTAACGCGTCATTTTGGGGAAGAACCACCTGTGGCTGGTGGTAGAACTTTATCCCGTCAAAAAGGGCGTGTGGCCAAGTGTTATTTCAGAATATAGTGCTGCGACACAAACAACTGTAACGTCGTGTTAAGTCATCATCCGATCGCTGTCATGATCTCCGGTGGAGCTTCTAAACCAGCGGCTTTTCCCGGGAGGTGCTCGGGAATAGTGGGTGGGAGGAGGGTTCAGGGCGTCGCTTGCTGAGGATAGAACTCGTATACAGTGATAACAACTTTGTTCTTATGGATCCTTTTTTAAACACAGACCGTAGAAAGCGCTTCGACAGAAGCGGCAAAATCAGGGCAACAGTAACGACAGAAAGCTCACCATTGACGCCATAACTAAGGGAAGAGTTAAACTGTGATGACACATCACAACAGTTGCACGTTAGACGATCTCCATAGCTGTCCACTGATATTTGTGACACACCATCACATGGTAGGAGTCAAGGGCGAGGAGCGCCCGATCTCCTTGACATTTAGGACGGGATGAGATCTTAATTCACAAGAACGTGGAACTCCCCAACGCCCGCTCGGGTTACCGGCAGGGCTTTTTTTGGGACAAGATGGAGTCCTCCATCGCTGAGGTTGCCCGGGCTCACGGGACATGCGGGACGCCGTTTGTTGTGCCTGCGCCGAGCCCAGACGGGGCAGGCTGACACAAGTCTGAGGTAGTTCCCAGGAGAGGGAACCCAACCCTTCCACCAGCACCTCTCGCTTAATGCCAAAGCAGCCTACTGTACATCCCGTCCACCCGCAAGGGCACCGGGAGAGTGTCCTTCCAGGCCACTGTGGAATGCTCAAGTGTGAGCCAGTGGGGGAGAGGGTGAGTTAATTGTGGAAAGAATCTCCCCAGCGATGTTCCCAACATGGGAGAGTAAGAAAGAGAGAGAGAGAGAGACTCTGCTTTTAGGGTGCAACCCGAAACCAGTATGGATGTTGTTGACATCCACGTCATGCATGTTTTTTTGTTTTTAAGCGAGGGTTGTGAAAATAATGCAAGCTCGGAGGGAGAAATATCCCCATACACGTTTGGAAATTGCGGGTTCTTGAAAGTCTATTCTAGCCGTGGCTCCTTTTGGTATTTCCAGTCTGAGGTGGTGTGAGTCAACAGTTAAGCTCATCGCTGCCGACCCGGCGCCCCGACCGCTCGGCCGATCGTTTTCAACCCATTATTTTCTCTTTGAGCGGGCTCCAGTTCGATATCACTTTAGCCGGATGTGGCATACGGTTGCCCGATCTATGTTTTTGAAATCAAATCCCAGAGTGGGCCAGAGGGAGAGCGAGCGCAACACGACGTGATCGGCTATGTAGCGTTGCCCGGGGTCATAATACATTAATACATTCACCGATAATTAGAGGCGTCTGAAGAGGACTTCATGATTCACGCAGCCGCTGTCCGCTCCATTCATCTCCAGCCGGCCCGCATCTTTGTAATTCAATCCGCCCTCCATTGTGTTGATTGTTTTTTTTTTAAACAATGGGCGAACATATCCCAGGGCCCGAGCCCCTATCAGCTGTCCCCAAACACCATCTCCTGGTTGGGCGGGGGGGCGGGGTCTTTTTGTTTTTCCTTTAGCCGTTTGTTGTCACGCCAGACGGAGCGGGCGTCGATGCGTGTCCGCCGCTTTTGAGGAGTTCATCAAACATTCATGCTAATTGGGCCGTGCAGTTTTTCTAATAAGAAGCTTGTGTCGAGACAAATGGCGGCGCATAATTTTTGGAACCCCCCACCTCCCTCTCTTTTTCTCTGTCTCTCTCTCTCTCTTCACTGGTTGTTTGGTGGAAAACATGCCTCCTGTCGTCGGCTCCGTCGGGCTCTGCAGCCTCACGGTGTTTGCACGGAGCAGCCAGGGGTCCATCTGTATCTGTGTTTGAACAGACCGGTCCAGCCTTGATTGTGCAGGCAACGTGTTATCACTGCGGTGATAGCGGGAGGGTCTCATTGCTGCCGAGTTAGAAGGAGTGCTCCGCTCTGCCATCGCCGCCTCTTCTTCTTTCTCTTTCCAGAGTCTGCTTTGTTGGTACTGGAGCCCCGCTGGAGTGTGACCAGGCCTTTAAAGTAAACAGCACCTGAATCTGGAAGCCATGGCTAATAGAGGCTTTACCTAATCTGTTCTTAAGGCTCGTACCTCAGCTTACAGCGCCGGTCGCGGCCGAAGCCTCGTAGAGGCCCGGGGAACACTTACCTGTTTATTTATACCACACCGGTCAACAAGGCATGATCAACTTTTCCTCAGCGCAGACTCACCGAGGTGGAACTGTGCTCCAGCTTCTCCGCTGAGTGGAGCGGGAATGACGACCCAGAATCCCCAGGAAATGAGTCAGCGTTTAGCTTTTCCTTTTCATGAATGGCATTTGGGTTTGATGCTTAAAAATAAATTCTGTGTTGAACACACTCTGGGAGAGATTTAAGTTTAGATTTTTTTCCCATTATACCGGGAACATTTGAAGCTTTCACCTGTCTTCTGAAATGTCTAAGTGAGACTACAAAAGGTTGTCACGGCAACACTATTCCACCTTTTCAATGTGGAGGTGAAGTCACGTGACTGCGGTGTAGTTTAAGGGAAAACATGGAAAAAGTGGTTTGATGTAGGGTTGCAAAATTCCAGGAATATTCAAAGTTAGAAACATTTCATGAGAATTTTTGGGAATATACAGGAATTAATGGGACTGAAATGTTGGGGTCATTTAACTGTATTCACCTTGTCATCAGCAGACATGCATTCTAACATTTCAAATACAAATTTTCAAAATTACATTTTTGACCTAATCCATTTGTGTTGAACTTAATTCTTTCTTAATTGAACAATAAAACATGAACGTTGAATAAAATAATCAAGCTTCTCAAGCCTCCGGTTTTTCCCTGAATCATTTCAGCTCTACGTCTGGTTGAGGGAAATAAAAATCTGGTCTACAATAGTTTGATACATCCTTTGCAAAGAACCTGAGCTGCTTTCCATACATCTTTATAACAATGTTTCGAATAATGTTTTTATTGCTCACCCTTTCATTTGCAGTAATTACTTTTTTTTTAATGATAAGTCGCCCAACTGACGCTTTTCGATGGACCCCAACAGCTGTGAATGATGGAGGTGATGCTGTACTGTTGTGTGGACATTCACGCATCCCTTTTCACTGCTGTAAAAAGTTTGCTTACTCTATTCAAATAAACTTGGTATTAAAATGAACAATAAAAAGATTTCCGGAAATTTACCAGGACTTTTCCGCCTCTTTACAACTTTAATTTGAAGGTTGTCCTGCTGACGTGCGTATGCTAAAACGTCTGTTTGTCACACAGCTCCTAACCCTAACCCTCCTCTGCAGCAATCCAACATCTTATCAAATGGATCTCATCAGCTTTTTTTTGTCGATGCACATTCGGATGGATTAGCATTAGGATGCTAACTTCTGGGGTGCGCCTACAAACGTACGCCATCCCAGCAGCCCTCCCACTGCAGGCCAGGCTGTAGTCCGTGGCCTCACTAACGGCAGTGACCAGCTTCACGTGCTGCAGATTCAAACGTCACATTCACATAAATGTCCGCGTGTCAAACGTTTTCTTTAAAAAACGTCTCTAAACCTTCAGCGTAGTCTCTGCATGTTCCTCTAGTCCAGACTGATACTGAGTGAGAAATGCACAAGGCTACATCTGCTGCATCACTGATTAGCAAACACGCACCCACACATCTTTTTCTTTATCTTCCTTCCTTCACATTGCACTTTGATTTGCTCTGCGTGGGTGTGACAACATTCTCACAACGCCTCCCTCCTCCTCATCCTCCTCCACTGCTTATCGCACAATGAGTGCCGAGCCTACACAAGTGTCTCTGTCGCATCCGAGGGCGTGCACCGGCCCCTGGATGCATTCCAGGATATCAGGAATGAGGAGCGTGCACGGTGGTTTCAACGTGCATTTTTTTTCTTCCTTTTTTCCCCCAAAACCGTGCAGGCAGTCGCTTTTGACAGCGGCGTTGTCGTATCTGCAATATTCCATGTTGACTGTGCAGACACTAATCAAGCCCCCGCCCCACTAGCTTTACGCCATGCTTAGTGCTGTAATGTAAAGAAAGGAAATGCAAGGAAGCAAAGCACCATTTCCAGAAGTGCCCAGTCACGTGTCAGTGGGCTGCCGATGCGGATGGAAGCCACACCGGCAGATACAGAGCCGTGCTTTCCTTTATAGCAGCTGTTAAGAAGGCCACCGCCTCAAATCATTGTAAACTGACAAGAATTCAAAATTGTATCCATCATCATCATGATGATTTCCTTGATTTTTGTTTTAAATAAACACACACAATTGAAACAGGAATAACCCTCACAAGTGACTTAAACGGCGTAGCTCTCGGTCATGGTGGAGAAGCGGAGCTTCTAAAGATGTTTTATCTCGACAGAAAAGAGGACAAGGGATCCTATTTTTCTTTATTTGATCCTTTGTTTATGCACAGCGAGTTCGGATTAATGATGACTTCATTTAAGGTGATGTGTGCTATAGAAGAGGTTCTTTGACGATCTTGCCTAGTCACACCATCCTTTTCCTACAGTAACACGTCGATACTTTACTGCTTAATGCTCAATTTGGGAGAATGGGAGTGAATGATGGGATCACATTAACGAAAAATCGAACACTGGCGAGTGTGTATAACAAATAATGTCCCCTGTCCTCACTGTTATCTGAGTAATAGATCGCCCGTTAGACAGTAATTACATTGAGAAGCCGTCATGTCTCCGCCTGGAGAGCAGTGACTTTCAGCGCTGGCGGTAAAAGGATTGTGTAGGCGGTACGGAGCAGATTAACGAGAGAGGGGGCGGATCAAGTGAGGTGCGGGGCTTCTTACCGTCTCCTGCACGGCGTTCTCGCGTAGGTGTACACCGCCCCGTGCCAGCGGCGTCATCTGGGCTCAGTCGAAGCAAATGTCACCTCGTGATTACGTTACGAGGTGCAGTCTGAGACGCAGGAGCTTCTCTATCAGGGGTCACGCGTCAACAATCGCCGTAGTCGTGTAATTCGCATCTTCTCTCGCCTAAATGCTAATTGTCTTTTTTTTTTTTTTTTTTAACACATTTTCTATTCCCCAAAAAGTTCCGATGCCGTGTCACCCTTTCTAAATGTCGTGTTTTGCTCCTGACAGCTGTGCCGTACCCTCCGCAACACAAGCTGACGGTGAAGGAGCTGTTTGAGAGTGGCAAGCCCAACGCCGAGCTGCTCCGCAACCACCTCGTCAAAGAGGGCCGGGTGGAGGAGGACGTGGCTCTCAAGATCATCAACGACGGGGCCAACATCCTCCGCCAGGAGAAGTGCATGCTGGAAGTGGATGCGCCGATAACAGGTAGGCACACAGAGGTGTTCGCCGAGAGCCCGGTGGGGGAGGGGGAGGCGATGTGCGTGACAGGTACTTGCATTTCTCTTTTTTTAGTCTTCCGATCACTCAAAAGCGCTTAAACACTACTTGTCACCATCCACCCGTTGACACCCATTCACACTCTGATGACAGGAGCTGCCATACACAGTGCCACCTGTCCGTCAGTAACTTTCACACCTTTCACACGCCGCAGTCACCGCTACGCCAGCGATAAGGGTTTTTTGACTGGAGGGAGACCTCTCCAAGCAAATCATTGCTCTTTGTTCGATGAAGGAATGCTCTCCGGTACTGGAGGACCCGGCGCTCCTCTGACCTATGCGTAACAAACCGTCTCGTGTCCTCCCACACGCACACCAAAGCCACGCCTGGAACCGTGATTAGTTTCTCCCCAGAGTAGATCGTCCAGACAGAAACACATTACTCTGACCACCGACCAGATGGATTTAGCTTGTGATATTTGACCTTGCGAGAATTCATCTGCCGTGCAAGATGACACACACACACACACACAATGACGTAGCTGTGTCCCCCCGGAGTGCGAGAGTAGGGGGGTCATTTGTGCGCTGTAAAGCGAGGGGAAACACTGTTAGTTTATATTTTAACGAGCGGCTTGCAAACAAACTGTACCCAGCATGCAGTGTAACAGCAGCAGCTTCTACCCAGCATGCCGTTTGGCAGCATCCCCTCTTAATACATCACTCAGTGTGTCAACTACACTCCACAAGGACATATGTCCTGTAGATCGCAATAGCTCACATTTGATACAGTGCACTTCCCTGGGTCCCCCGCGCTCATTGGTTGGACCATGGCAGAGGACCTGGAAAGACAAGGGGACAGACATTACTTCAATTCTATTTAGATTTCTGGACAGCATAGATGGTACAGTGGAGCAGAGCGTAAACACAGCACCAAACCAGCCATTATTCCCCTATGCCAGCAGATGGTATAGACATCAGCACTTGAATGGGTGTGAATGGGTGAATGATGACGTTTTGAAGCGCTTTGAGTGGTTGGACGAGAAGAAAAGCACCAAATGGGTCCAGTCCAGTGTAGACCCTCCTCTGTGTCGGACCCAAAACGGCCTCGCAGCCTGTCGACTCTGTCACCAGTCCCAAAAAGAATGTGCTGCTCCCTGTGAGGTGACTGCTGCGTGGCCTCGGCCCCTCCACGCCGCCTCCAGCCCCTCCACGTCCAAGCGGCTCTCCAGAAAGTACAATAATTCATTCCTGACCTTTTCGAGTTAAATCTGGAGCTCTAATGGCAAATCAGACCGTAAGCTGAGCGCCGTCGCGGGGACGGAAGACGAGACGCCTCCGTGGTCTGTCAGAGGTCGTGGTCACGCTAATCGTTTTCAATGAATGTTGGTATCACTGAAAAGCACTCAGTTCAGTTTAATAAAAAACAAACCATAAAACCTTCACTCAGATCTGCACAGAGCGACCACCAAACGCAGCTTCCAGACTATTGGCGTCGCTCTGTGGGGTCTTTTTTTATGTTGTGTGTTTCTCTCTCTTTGTAAACTCGATTCTAACAGGTCAATGCAAAAACCCAATGTCATTAATACAATTTAAAGTTAAAAAAAGCTAATAAGCTAAAGATAATACGACATTTACTGTCAATATTCTCATTAGTGTGTTAAATACCGCTGCTGTTATTGCATCAACGTTAAAAATTGGGAGGGGAAAAATAATGAATGGCCTTGAACATTATAGAATCTAATTTGGATTTGCCCTTTAAAATAAATTCAGTTTCTTTCCTAAGAAGTATGGCTGATTTTTGAATCCATACAGCGACGTATAGCAAGGGACTCCGGACAAGCAGCTGTTTTATCAGCATGTCTCCCTGTTGTTGTGGAACGAGCCGTTAACAGCGGCGTGTTTTTCTCTTCTTACAGTATGTGGCGATGTCCATGGACAATTCTTCGACCTTATGAAGTTGTTTGAAGTGGGGGGATCCCCCAGTAACACGCGGTACCTCTTCCTCGGTGACTACGTGGACCGAGGATACTTCAGCATTGAGGTAATGTGTTGCGTCTTCCAGCTTTATGGTTTGATTTGATTTATTTTACAGTTTAAATAAGAAAAACCTTTAGGTTGTTTTGTCATCGTTTGAATTGACCTTTTGGATTCAAGTCAGCGTAGTTCATCTACTTCTTTATTCAAGCAATAGATCCTTTCCCTTTTGTAAGCGTAAACTATTCACGTGTAACAAACCATTTGATTTGGCTGCAAAGATCATAACATCCTGTTTCCCAAAACCAATGGTTTGTTTGTTAGTATAAACCCTCGACATGTAAGCAGTGCTTTGCTCTGTCTGCTGCACGGCCCCTCCACCGCGGCAAATATAAACCTTTATTGTTAGTAGCCCGACGTGAGTCACAGGCAGATCGGATTGGATCACTATCCAAAATCCCAGATGTAATTTATAATTAAGTATCTAAAACAAAAAAGCTAGCTAAGCTAGCTAAGTTAGCCAAGGCTGCTCACTGGTATTCGCTTGGGAGAGTTGTAGTGACATCACAGATCAAAGTCGGATCGGGTTACTAATGGCCGATTATTGATAATCCACAGTGCTGTTTGATTAGAGCAGCTGGTCAACTCGAGTCCCGACTGTTTTTATTTATTTTTTACATTACATTACCGGTCATTTAGCTGACGCTTTTATCCAAAGCAACCTACGTTGCATTTTTAACCCATGGCTTTTTACATATTTGCGCGGGGAGCAGTTAGGGGTTAGATGTCTTGCTCAGGGCCGGGGCTTGATCCGCCAACCTTGCGGTTCACAAAAGCCTGCCAGAATTTGTTCTCCTTATACTTTGTTACTATGATTCATATAAACTCAATTCAATAGATAAGGAAATGAGATGTTGTATTTTTAAAACCAATCATGTCATTACTAGTTTTACTGATAATTTAAGATGTGGAGTAAGAGCTGCTCCATAAATCTTGGGGGCTTACAGCGGCGTTGCCCCGAGCATCTCACTTTACTGCCAACCGACCAACTGGGTCTATTTTGATGATGACTTCAAAGGGCACGGCTCGTGCTCGGCCAGTAGCTGCTTAAAAATGGAATGGGGGTGTGTGTATGGGGGAGGAGGGGGGGTATTAAAATGACCACAGAAAACCCCACTGGCTGTGTCACCCTCCCCTCAGCGGTCAGCCTGTATCATATGCATATAACACAACAATCCTACTGTCACAATGTGTGTGTGTTTGCAAGATCGATAACAGAGTGATCATTTAAGTTTTAGAATCCGGAGAACCATATCGGAATCTACGCGTGGGTCCTTTAACACGTCGATCTAGAAAAGGTCCTGAGAATACTTGAGAGCATTTCAGCGCTCAAGGTGGATCATGAAGGCCTTCAGTCTGCACTGCAGTTCACCACAAATATGTATTCAATGAAGAGGATTTCCACTGATGGTTCCCAACTTTACAGGTCCTACTAAAGTGGTAAAAGGTTTGAATAAATCCCGTTGTTGCTGCGCCGTGTGATGAAATGACTCGGGTCATTGTTGGTGAGGGTCTGCAGACGTTAACAGGTTGGATGGTGAAATGTGAAGTCGCTGCCACGTTGCGGAGCACGAAGTGCTTCATGCTGGTAGCTGGACACACTTAACGCGACGATCAAACTGTTGGTGGTCGAGGTGCATTGTGGGAATGCCCGCGTCAGGTGTTTTTGCCAAGGAACAAGATTGTTCATTATAAAAAAAGACAACCTCTTTTTCTGACGAAATTGATTGAGCCATTTTATTTTGATTGCAATGCCACATCAGTGGAGAAGAAGAAAGAACAGACGTGTTCACTGTTTTTTTGTGTGGCCGCTGCAGAGAGTTACAAGCGACAGGTCGACCGACAGGATTTTTAAAGGCCGTGCAGGACAGAGGTGGGTGAAATGTCACGGATGAAAAGGAGCGGACTGAAAGAGAATCGGGAATGATGGGCCGCTGATTTTCCCCCCATGTATTTGTTTAGAAAAGTGACACGTCCTGCTCCTACCTCCTAAAACTTTCAATTCTGAGCCATTGGGGTCTGTGGGTCACTGCTTAATGATGCCTGGATTAATCCAGGAAACTATTTTCAATTAGTCAGTGGTAAAAGTAACCCATGCTCTAAGGCTCAGAGTATATCGTTCAAATAACTGTATGAAATATACACGGGAAGCAGCTCTGCCTGGTTTTAGGCGGCTCCACAAACACTAAAGAGCCTAAAAGCACCACAGTCTAGTTGTTGTTGTTGTTGTTGTTTTTTCTTCCCCTGGCAGGGCTGAAATTCTCTGCATTTTAAAGCAAGGCCACCGAGCTCACTGCGGAGACAGGACAGGAAAATAGATATAAGGATGTGGTTGCCCTGGCAACACAAAGAGTCGCCGCAGCCTTGGTAGCTTTTCCGCAGGCCACTATTTTGCCAGAGCGATCACTTTCACTCTCAACTGCCCTCATTGTGCTCAGTCAGCACTCACACAAAGTATAGATCATTTCATAGATCACTTCAATCTCCGCGTCGGCCGCCGCCTCCGCACATGAAACGTCGAGTCACGTTCATCCACCCGAAAAAAGACATTAGCCGTGGCTCCCTCATTCCGTTTCTTCATTTCTCTGATCACACACCTGACTTTCTCACCGCGGCACCTCGTTCCAGCGCCTTAATAGCAGGCTGGCACTCGTTTGGAGAGTGGGCTGAGAGTGGCCAAGTGGCTGCTATTAGAGCGGCTTGACCGCGCACGGAAGAGACTGCAGCTTCCCCTGGATTGCTACAAGGAACACTTAGCTGGCTT